CAAAGTTGTTAGATTCAAAATAATTATTATCTATTTATTCCATACAATAAAAATACTTTTTATTTTTTATGGGTAGATAGGTAGTCTACCTGGAATGTTTCCCGGGAGTTTTGAAAATTGGTAATTTTGCTGATACTACGTGCGCCGCTCGCGCCGCCAACTTGAAAAATGGCGGCCAAAAACAGATTTTTTACAATATCTCTTTTTCTGTGCATTTTAACTATAAAATTGAACTAACTACTCACATTTTTCTATAATTTATGTTTCGGCAGCTTTTTGTAATGTAAGTAGTTTTAGCGCCAGAGCACCGCAAAGTACATTTTTATGAGCATTTTCTTTAAAAAAATAATTTCCACACAGTTGTAGAAAGTATTACAAAAAGTAAAAAGTATTACAAAAATTGTAGAAAGTTGTGAGTAGTTTAATTTTGTGATTAACGGTTTTCTCGTAAAATGCACAGGAAAAGAGATATTGTAAAAAGTTACTGTTTTGGCCGCCATTTTTCCAAGATGGCGGCGCGAGCGGCGCACGTACAAAGGTGCAAGATGGAAATCGAAAAGAGCACGTCAAAATCTACAAAATTGTCTATTTTCAAAACTTTCGGAAAAATTTCCAGATGGCCCCCATATTTCCTAGTTAATGGTCAGACTATAATGCCGAGTGTGAAAAATGAATAAATCAAGTAGGCCGGCTTCCTTGATCGTCATCAAGGAAGCTTGCATAATTGATTTACATTTGCCTACTAGTATAAAACTGTTGTGGAACAGTTTTATACAAGTAATGGCTTACCTACATTATATATCCATAATGTGGATCATAACTATTTGTCGGTTACAAATGCGCATATGCTTTACCATTTTGTCAACTATCCCTTTTAGATTAAAGAATGTGTTAACTCCAACTTTATTAACAGATAGTGCGTCAGCAATGGTTGAATCTATTTGTATAAATACTCGTTCGTTCTTCTTCAGTGCTTCCACCATGCTGCAAGTTTTATCTGTTTCGATTCCCTGAATAATGGAAACAAAATCATCATTAGTAAAAATTGGAGCTACCTATATTGTTTTTAACCGACTATCTGCCAATTGCAAAACACTATCTCGAGCCGAAATCCACTGATCGATATAATACAATATATTCTGTCAAGATCAAGATCGATCCACAGATTTTGGATAAAGATCGTTTATTAATATCGACCGCAAATGAGATACTAACATAAATTTCAGTGTCAGGTTTTAGATGTTTGATAGCAATGGCGACTCCTGTCAGGAGGGATCCGCCGCCGCATGGCACCAGCACTGCATCCACCGTGGGAAGCTGTTCCACAATTTCAATGCCAACGGTGCCCTGGCCTTCTATTATGTTGGGGTGGTCGAAACTGAAATGCAATAAGATTTACAAACAAACGTACACAATAATTTGATAACTGGAGTTACAGAATACTTTCCTGCTCTGTGGCTATATAGTGCTAATGACAAACAATCATATTACGTTATCATTTAGCTAAAGTTAGTAAAATATATTAAAGAATGGTACCCGTTGATGAACGTCAGCTTTTTCTCCCTAGCTACAGACATGGCATGCCGTTTGGACTCTGCCATATCTCTGCCATGAAGTATGATCTTCGCACCGAGTCGCTCGGCGAGCGTTCTCTTGAAGATGGAAGCTTTGAACGGCATCACGACGCTGCACGGTATGCCTAGCATAGAAGAGTTGTAAGCCATGGCAATGCCATTGTTACCGAAGCTGGCTGTGATCACACCAAGTTTCTTCTGTTCGTCGCTCAACAATACCAGAGCGTTGCGAACTCCACGCTCCTTGAAACTATTATCAAAAATATAGAAATATGATGATAGGTACTATAGTAAAATGAAAAGAACTCCATTGCTGAGATTCATAGTTTTAAAGGTCTAATATTATTATAACGTTTCACGTCAACTCAAATGTTTTGCCGAGAAAGCAACCGATAACTAAATTAACTCCTGAATTATCTTTCTCTTGTATTAGCGTGGGTACTTTTCAGTTGTAGAACTCACGTCATATCCAGTCGTAATCTTTGTCACATAGTTTACAACTTCCCACCCTACATTTCTCGCGCATGCTCCATTGCAACCTCACGGCCGAACTACGGCGTAGCTGCTACGAGAACTCGATCTATTCTTATGTCCTGATTTCATATACTCGAGCAAAGTGAGGTTTGTCATAAGTGAATTAAAAAACCATTACCATCCCGAGTACTGTAGGAACTCTTGCTTCATGTATAATTCTACTCCCAGCGTTTCCGACATGTGAGCGAGCTGCGAAATGAAGTTATTGTACCTAAATATTCAACAAGTAACCTAGATTGAGCATACAGAGCTTAACGCTGTTTCGAGCTTACAATAATTCATAATTTAATTATATAAGATAATGATTTGATAGCTTGCTCTCTTTTGAGAAGATTTTATTTAGCGTGCAATGTATGTATGTGTGTGAAGTGGAAACTTGAAACGGAATTTTGTAGCAGATGTCTTCAACCGACCGATACACACATTTATTTTGCATGTTCATAAATGCTGGTCAAATGATGCAAAAGCTTGTTGTAGGGTTAATATCACCCACAAAATATTGTTGCATTGTGTTATGATGAGCTCCTGCCTTGTGACTTACCGGGCATTGTGTTCGTACAATTTGGCCCACCATCCGTCGAGATGCAGCCAAAATATCTTCATATTTTATCCTTCGGGGATTGTCTGGATCACAATTAGCGTCATATTCAAGGTCCTATAATAGTATAAACATTGGTACGTACGTATAATAGTCATGACACCACAAAACATGAATAGGTAGTTAAATCTGTGCAGATAGAACTGAGATTTTATAGTCGAAACTGCGTCAGTTTCGTCAGTATTGCCATAGCGAGTGTGAAGTGGAAAAGCGTCGTTTATGACGATAAAGGAGGCCATGATGATAAAAACTGAAAGATCGCACAGTTTTGCTTGAACGACTGTAGTGTAGGGTGTACAGACCTGACTGCACACTTCAGTTTTAACGGCACAGTTAAAAGTGAAGGTGTGTACTGTGCAGCCTGCATTCATTGTCGTATAATGTTTGTATGTGTATGGTTTCTGCAAGTAATATTTTTCAACACGTATTTCGTACTTACATCTTGAGGGTTCATTATTTTTTCATTGAGGCAAATTAATATTTACCAGGTACGTTTCAACACTAGTAATTTTTCATATTTATAGGGATTTTCAATCAGAGGAATTTACTATCAAAATATTGATTCAATCAATGTCAACGTTGACGTTTTAATTTTTTGCCAGTTTATGGTGTTAAACATCAAAATAAAATACCAATTAAGTAGGTGTCATGCTTCACTGTAGAACCACTTTGCCTGACACGATATATCGGGGGTACATTAGGTAATTATGTAAAATAATTATAGTTTCTTGGAAAATATCAAAGTCCATCATTAATTTCAATTAGATCAGGAAGACGCTGAAAGTCAAAGCAAAAATCAATTTAAAGTGGTCATAGGTACTTTAGTAGAACCACGTTAAAGTAGTTAGTTAAGTTAGATTAGGGTGTGATGAGGCTGACATATTCACACCTCGAATTCTATTCAACCCGTTTTACCGTTCTGTCTCTGTCTCTGTATCGTGCTGTCTCTGTCATTTTACGAAGAGTTTATAGTGACAGAACTATACTAAAGCGCGACTTAAAATTGAGTTGGTAGCGTTTGAGTAGGTACTTAATATTTTTTTATGGCATAAGCCGGTAAACGTGCAGACGGATCACCTGATGGTAAGCCAAAGAGTAAGGTATAACAAGTATAGGGATATGGTAAGTAATCGGCGTCGCCTATGGACACTTGGAACATCAGAGGCGTTACACGTGCGTTACCGGCCTTTTGGGAAATAATATTATAAACAAAACTTGTGGACAATAACAAATGTATATTTATTGTGTATCAAGATAAAATCTACAATTTTGGATGCTTTAAATACTGTTAAATAATTATTGGTTTTATTAGTAACAAGTAAATGTTTTATCGAAATGCACCTGCTCTAAATTTCTTAGTAAATAACGTTTCTATACATAATTATTGTATTATATTTCTTTACGATCAATGAATTCATTGAAAATAACGACACGGTTGGTGCAGTGGTTGGGTATATAACTGGCTGCGACGCAATATTGGTTGGATTCCCGGTTCCCGCTCGGAACAACTCAGTGTGATCCACTAATTGGATGTAATGAATTGAAGGACTGACTATAGCGTCTACTAATGAAATAAAACACAGAAAGGAGTTCACAAGTAGTATTTTGAAATGAGACGCGATAGGAATGGTACAATAGAGGAAGAGAGTCTATTTCTGCATGCACACAGGGTTGGGTGCGAGGCAGGGGCCGCGCTTGACACCCGCAGTCTTTTCAGATTTTTCGTTCATTTCTTGGAAGTAATAGTCTTTATAGTGTTTCTTGATTAGTTCCACCAACTGTCTGGAATGGTCGTAGCCTCTGGTTTCGACAATCACTTTCATCTGCAAAAATCGAGTTTAGTGTTATAAAACTACAAAATATACAACATGTTTTTTAATTGTTTATCTTAATAGGTAGCCTGCGACATGGAGTAAACGTTTCTTCCATTTTTAGTAAACTGTAGTGTATAAACATTGTAATTATGTAGGTAAACTAAATAAATCTTACTTGTACACTAAATACATCGCCTTTGACCCAAGCTCTTTCAGGCACACAGTCTCGCATGGTGACGCCCATGCCAGCGAGCATGCTGCAGAGGTCCGCGAGTCCGCCGGGTCGGTCCGACACGGTCACCTTGAACTTCATCAGCCGACCGTCCGCTGCCATGCCCCGTTCCAGAGCACGGGTCAGTGTAGTTGAATCTATGTTACCTCCAGAGCATATTGTTACCACTCTGCAAAGTTTCAATCAATAGATTTCAAATAAAACAATAACCAATGCGGGGTTGTTTTTAAAATTTCATGGCCACCTGGACAAGCCTTTTTAGAATAAATTAAATTGTTTATTTAGGTATTATAAAATTGTCAAAAGTAAGATTGTCTTTTCATCATATCAGCCATAAGATGTCCACTGCTGAACATGGGCCAGATAACTTCCAGATAGGCCGGTTGGAAGCGCTCTGCATCCAGCGGCTCCCTGCAACCCTAACCAGGTCGTCTGTCCATCTTGCGGATGGATGTCCTACGCTACGCTTGCCGGTACGTGGCCTCCACTCCAGAACCTTTCTGCCCCAGCGGTTCTCCGCGCTATGTGCCCTGCTCACTGCCACTTCAACTTGCTAATTCACTAGGCTATGTCGGCGACCTTTGTTCGTTTGTGAATTTCCTCGTTTTTTATCCGACATCGCCAAGAACCTCCGAGCATAGCCTATCCATAGCGTGCTGAGTTTCTTTATAAGGCCCACAGTGAGAGACCACGTTTCAGTTCCTGGTAACACACATTGATTATAGACTTTCATCTTGAGGCACTGAGATATGTAGGACGAGAAGATGTTGCGTAATTCCCCAAAGCTGCCCTAAGTTGGATTCGACGATTGACCTCCTTCTCGAAATTGGACCCACCTGGCTGGATCACTTGTCCCAAGTATACATATTTGTCAAAATTTCGAGGGTAGAGCTCCCAACAGATATCGGGTAGGGCATAACATTTCCAAAGTTTCGATCGAATCAAAGACCTTCTCATAATCCACAAACGCTGAGCATAGTGGCAAGTTATATTACTCCTCGGTCTTCTGTATAACTTGCCGCAGCGAATGAATGTGGTCTATGGTATTATAGCCTTTCAGAAAACCGGCTTGTTCGGGAGGTTGGGAATCATCGAACCTACGTGTGAGACGATTCGTGAAGACCCTCGAAAGCAGCTTGTAGACATGGCTCAGAAGTGAGATGGGTCTGTAATTTTTCAGTAGAGTATTATCTCTTTTCTTGAAGAACAGCATCACTACACTTCTGCTCCAAGCCGCTGGCGTTACTCCTTCGAATATGACGGAGTTGAAGAGCTTCTGAAGGACTCTCAGTACCGGCGTTCCGCCCGCTTTCAGAAGCTCTGATGTGATTCCGTCCTCGCCCTGCACCTTGTTGTTCTTAAGTTGCTTGAGGGTCATTATTATATCGTATAGGCTGATGTCCGGGATAACCTCGGTATAGGTTTGGGTAAGCTTAGCTCTTGGATCTGCGACAGAGCTAACAAGTTTAGTGACCGATGCGTATAGCTGACCATAAAACGTCTCAATCTCCTCCAAAAATTCGGCTTTCGTCGACGCTACACTACCATCCTCCACCTTCAGCTTCGTCAGCTGGCTTTGCCCAATAGACACATCCCTAGCGAAAACTTTGGAGCCTTGGTTTCGCTCTATCGGTTCTTTAACCCTATTGGCGTTAAAGTTGCGGATATCATGTCGCGTGTGTGAGTCTGAGGATACAATCACACTTCCGATGGTAAGAATGTTGCTGACGAGGGACTTGTGGACGAGGAACCCGACACCACCTTGGGACAGTTGTTTGCCCTCCGGGTGGTAGTATAGGTTGCCGGATCTTAGGGTTATCGTGTCCTCGCCCTCTCGTCGAACTTCTGACATCCCAAAATACTCCAGTGCAACCTTCCGAATTCTTTTTTCAACTCAACAATCTTCTCGTCTATCTTCAAAGTGCGAACATTGTGTGTTACCAGGGCCAGTTGTCGTCAGGGTGGTAGCCTTTTCTCCACCTCCAGGGATTCTTAGCACCCCGTATACAGCCGTTATCCTGACCGCTACCACGGTAGCTAGGAACGGCGGGACTATCGGAAACTAGGGGCCTAGTTTTATCTGAACAGTCCATTGGGGGGAATTTGTCAATACTCGCCACGCTTGGCAGGAGGGTTGGCGAGCGCAGTTAGGCCACCAAGTGTATAACATAATTTTACTCATAATTTTACAGAATGCTGCTCCCCATTCCTCGGTTTCTGGTCGCAGTTTTAGGAGGTACCCAGGTCCTTTACCTTTTGCCTTTTAGGTTAGGGAACAGGCCAGCCATGATAGACGCTACACCGACAGCACCAGCACCTTCTACTACAACCTTTTCTTCTTCAATGATGGTCATAATGGCACGAGCCACCCAATCTTCTCTTACCACTACCTAAAAACCGATCTTTGTTTAGTGGTTATACCTCAGTTGGAAATTTGAAAGATATACAATTGGAATATTGCGTCTTAGATAAATATTCAACACTAGTTTCTGACAGCGGTTTCGCCCGCGTTCTAGAGCAAAATCTACCCCTGTTCCAAATTTCCTCTCGACCCCTTCAGCCGGTTTGACGTGATAGAGTAACAAACACACGCACTCACACTATCAAGTTTTCAAATTTATAATATTATAGTGGAAGAAAGGATTTGTTATACCATTTTATCAAGGATTCCTTTGACGTTGTGGAAGGTATTAACTCCTACTTTATTCACGGCTAATCCGTCAGCGATGGACGGCTCTAAGGCAAGAAATATTCGTTCATTCTTTCTTAGTGCTTCTACCATACTATATGTCTTGTCTGTTACAATGCCCTGAAAAATAAAAGACATTAATATATACATGACTGATGAATAAACATATTTAAAATACTTTGATGAAATGGGAACGTTGTAAAAATACTTATAAAATGTAAACATAGAAAGAAACCAACTCACATAAACTTCAGTGTCAGGCTTGAGATGCTTAACAGCTACGGCGACACCAGCTAACAGACTGCCACCTCCACATGGGCACAGAACTGCATCCACATTTGGCACTTGTTCTACTATCTCTAAACCGACAGTTCCTTGGCCCTCTATCACATTTGGATGATCGTAACTACAAATTACAAAGGTTCATACGAAACGTAAATAACAAAGGTTGATACGCAACTATAATTGAGAAAGGTTGATACAAGTTTGAAAAAACCTTACCCATTTATGTATATCATCTTTTTCTCCTTCGAAGTGGTCATAGCAAAAAGTTTGGCTTCTGCCATATTGTTACCTTGCAATAGGATCTTTCCACCCAGCCTTTCTGCTTTATTGATTTTAGTGATAGGAGCATGTATTGGCATGACTACTATGTTCGGTATACCCATCTGAGAAGAGTGATAGGCCAGAGCGCATGCGTGATTCCCTGTACTGGCGGCAATTACACCATATTTCTTTTGTTCCTCAGATAGCAATAATAATGTGTTGGCCACTCCGCGTTCTTTGAAACTGGTAAAAGTATTTGAACCTTTATTTTTGTTATGTAACTGATGACATAGGTAAAACAGTTATAATAATTATTAAATTACCATCCTGTTACTTGTAAGAATTCCTCCTTCAGATAAAGATCCATACCGAGTCGCTTCGACATGTGGGCTTTCTGTGTAATAAATAAATTATTATTGAAATTCAAACCCTAACATTGAATTAAAGACAATTTAATTTTGGGGCTATATTTGAGAATGGGGTAGGGGAAATCATCCAATGACGTCTCGCGCCTTGGGCGAGGTAAGAGGAAGCATCAGAATGTTACTGACTACTATTCCTACTCCAGCTTCGAGTCGGAGCCCCGGCAACCCGCAACCCGGTTTTCCTCTGCTTTAGTCCCGCGTCAGCCCCCATAACTATTTTAACTGTGACATGTAAACGATTTAATATTATATTGTTAGTCTATGTTGATGTTGGTGTAAATTATAAATAAGTAAATATACGAAGTAATTTGGTAGGTACCGCGCATGGTGTCTTAATAACTTGGCCAACGACACGCCGCGATGCAGCTAATATGTCTTCAAACTTTATTTTGCGTGGATTGTCTGGGTCACAGAACTCATCATATTCAGGATCCTAGAAATATTAATACCAGTTTGTTCATTCATCGTATACAGCTAAGACAGATAATATTCATGAATTATATAGTAAAATGATGGTAACGGCTCTTTTGACATAACTTACATCTTTCGGGTTCGTCATTTTGAAGGTATTACTTTTATTTTTGTAATATATACTATAATATTTCGGCTGCTGTCTTTTCTTCTCACATGTTTAAACTTATTTTATTTTTAATTTTGAAATGGAACTAAAATTTTATTGGAAAAAATACGCTTTGGCCGATGTTTATATTTTGACAATTTCTTTTTTATTTTTGTTTATACTCTTACAAATAAAAAAGGTCGTGTGTGAAAAAGGTCTAATAACATAACATAACATAACATCACGCCTTTTTATCCCCGAAGGCGTAGGCACTTGATGCCACTGTACACCCAATACCCACAATACAATGTAATACTAACAATTGCATTTTTTTTATATCATTCGACATTCATAACCTACGCGGGCTTGGCCCGTATGCGGGGCTATTGCAACGGATGATGCCCCGCGTCCCGCGTGCGGATTCATGCAATGATGCACGTGAAAATCCGCACGATATTAAAGACACCCTAAATATTATTAACCTACTAAAAGTTTAGAAGTTTGTGTCCCAAATACTAAACAAAATTTTTCATTATAATACCTACCTAGATAAAAATTTAGTAGCACGGTCCAAACGTCCAACTGTCATGGCCCGAATGAATGAAAACCTGACACCTGACACCTGTCGTAGAAATTTTACACAACCGTTTTTTTTTCTCTCTGCCTGACGGAACACGGGAATACGTGGATCTAGTTGTGGCGAAATACTACAACTAGCGTAGCGTAGGTAGAGTTCGTGCGCGTAGGCCGTAGCGCGTAGCAACCTTTTTTCGCTGTTTATCTCGTAGTAGGCGTGCAAACCATGGCCTCAATTGCTAATTTATAAGTACGTCATTTAAACGTGCTTTTACTTAAAATCAATTCATTACTTTTTAAAATATTTTTTAGCATAATATTAAAAACAAAAGAAAAAAATAAATATAAAACCGACTTGAAAATAAAGCCCTATTAAGCTGAAAATGATTAATACAAATTACTAATATCCAGTACGGGAGACCATTGACCGAGAGCAGTTGATTTTTTAACCGACTTTCTCTAATTGTTTTTTTGTTGAAATAAAATTTTTCGGTAAACAAATAAAATACTTTTATTAGTTCATTAATAATGTCATTACAATATTACTTTATCCTATCACAGATTCATAAAATATCTTACATACTATAAATAGGAAAACATAATCACTGATACGTGACGAGATGACATGACAAACAGTGTTGTTGGTCCATGGCTTTTGAAAATGATCCTAAAGATGTCTGCATGTCTTAAAAGGAATCTTTGTGAACGTTTACAAAGTGGCCTGGCGTTTGATTAGTATGTTTTAATTGAACATTCTTCAACATAAACGTATTGACTATCAGGAAATTATGTAGACAACATCTGAAAATAACAGTAGCCATGTAACTCCCTTAAATATATTTGTATACAAATGTATAACAATTATTATTCAATATTATACCGAATCCTATGTAAGAAAACGACATGGTCAAACGTTTAAAGACAAACAATTTGTTATAAAATTAATATAAGTAATATATAAAATTATTTTAACACTTTTCGAAAATGAATCGAAACGAGACTGCCTTCGCCGCTCCGATTGGTTAGTTCATTGGAGCCGGCCAATCAGAGCGCCGAACACGTGCTCGTTTCGATTACTTTAAACGTGAAACAAATCCGTACTAAGGCCTCAGATTTTTTTTTAATTGTTTAATTACTTTTAGAACCACACGTAAATAGAACTAAGAAATACCTAAATAAAAACTCTTGCTTTTACAATATTAGTTATGTATCTGAAAAGCATTTGATAGCACAACCTAATGCATATACACTATACAATATACAGAGTGTAAACGGAACGCAGAACGCATTGTAATCGTTTTTGTCTTCGTGTTTTTCACACAACATCAGCCTTGAACAATTGATTCTTTTATGTAATGTGAATATGTTTTACTTTTTTGACTATAAAACTCGTGTTTTGGAATCGTTCTCCTTACACCCTGTATGCAGTTAGTACTTATTTTGAATATTGCTAGTAAGTTAATGTGAGACATCGTCGAGAGACTCTGTGCTGTTGCGGCGCGGGTAGGCATCATATTCGCCTGCGAAATCCCATTCCCTGTAAGTAGTCGCTATCACTCCGCGCAACTCCTCCAAGTGTTCGGGTCCACGAGTTTCGCACACCACTTTCACCTGTAAATAAAATAAATATAATACTAATTATTATGGATTTAACTTAGAGCAAAAATAATAGTAAAATCTCGAACTTCAAACTACTCATCCAGTCACAAACCAAAGTAAAAATTCTATTAAATAGTCGATATCAGCCATAAGATTTCTATCTACCCAAGACAGTTTCAACCTGATGGTCTTGCACTAAAGTTGACAATGTATTAGGAGCTTGGCGCTGGTACGAAATGTTGTTAAAGTTAGTTTACCCGCACGCTGAAGATATCGCCATGAACCCAGGCGCGTTCCTGTATGATGTCCTTGATGGAGACTCCGGTGCAGGAGATGAGCTTGCAGAGCTCTGCGATGCCGCCGGGCCGGTCACTCACTGTCACTTTGAACTTTACTAGACGTTGCTCTGCAGCCAGACCGCGCTCCAAACATCGGCCCAGAATAGTCGTGTCTATGTTACCTCCAGAGAGAATGCAAACCACCCTGAAATAAAAATATATAAGCACTTAGTAGTATTTGATTTCAATTACTTCACGCACAGGTACTTTTCTATCTACTTTGGCTGGGTATACAGATTCTCTTGATTCTTCCCCTAAACATGTCATAATCTGGTGTGGATCGCTTAATTTGTTTCCGACCATTATCATAGACTGCGGTTGTTAAAATGCATTATATTGTGACGAACATAACCAGAAAAGTACTCCTTATGTTATACGGGCCCGCTAACTAACGTCACATGACAGATTTAATATCATGAAGAAAATGTAAAGCAAGTACTTATTATGTACTAGCTGTTGCCCGCGACTTCGTCCGCGTAGAATAATGACTTCTGGCAGAATTTAGGCTTTTGAATTAATTTTTATCAAGGGATATTCTACGGTAATGGATGTCGTCAGAATTGATTCAGTCCCATAGATGATAGCGTGATAATATGTAGCCTATATGTTTACCAGACTTGTTAGTAATATTCATGCAAAATTTGAAATAGTAGTGCAGTACTTTTTGAGATCATCACGGCCATACATACAGACAAACAGACAAAAATTCTAAAAACCACATTATTGGCTTCGGTATCGATTAGAGATCACGCTTCAAATATTCTTTTAAAAAATATTCAATGTACAGATTTGACTTTTCTACGATTTATTATATGTGTAGATAGCTGTTGCCCGCGACTTCGTCCGCGTAGATTAATGACTTCTGACAGAATTAACCAGAATCAATTCAGTGCCCAAGTAAGATTTACCTATTTTGAAATGATTTATCGTAGTTTCAATAAATAAATAATCCCGCAGGGATCTTACCAGTACAGTGCCCGATCACGTAAGGTTTGAGTAATAAAAACTATTCTATCGACTATTGTTGTACCGAATCTCTCTAGAATAAGTTCAGTGGTTAAGAGTTAGAGAGTCCTGGGGCATTGACGCATAGTTCCCGTTCTCGTGAGACATCTGTGAAAAAACTATCATACGTTACCCAGGTCCCAAATCATCGTTTTACCGAATGTAATTCAAAAAGATTCAATGATTCTAAATTCAACGGCTAAGAAGATTTATACAAACTCTCATTCCCTATTTTATCCCCTTAGGGGTGGAATTTATCAAAATCCTTTCTAAAGAGATACCTATGTCATAGTAACTTTATGCATGCAAAGTCTCAGCCCGATCAATTTAAAACTGGCAAAGTATCATACTTTGGGGTGAGAATGTTCAAAAACCTTTCTAAAGGGACGTTTACGTCATAATATCCATCTGCACGCCGAATTTCAACCCGATCGGTGTAAAACTGACAAAGCCTCACACAAACGTTCATCCCCTATTTTACCCCCTTGGTGGAAATTATCAAAATCCTTTCAAAGCGGATGCTTACGTCATAACATCTATCTGCATGCCAAATTTCAACCTGATCGGTTTAAAACTGACAAAGGCTCATATAAACTTTCATCCCCTATTTTACCCACTTGGGGGTGGAAATTATCAAAATCCTTTCACAGCGGACGCCTACGTCGTAACATCTATCTGCATGCCAAATTACAACCCGATCGGTTTAAAACTGACAAAGTCTCATACAAACTTTCATCCCCTTTTTTACCCCCTTGGGGGTGGAAATTATCAAAATCCTTTCACAGCGGATGCTTACGTCATAACATCTATCTGCATGCCAAATTTCAACCCGATCAGTTAAAAACTGACAAAGTTTCATACAAACTTTCATCCCCTTTTTTACCCCCTTGGGGGTGGAAATTATCAAAATCCTTTCTTAGCGAATGCCTACGTCATAACATCTATCTGTATGCCAAATTTTAGCCCAATCTGTCCAGCGGTTTGGGCTGTGCGTTGATAGATGACTATGTCAGTCAGTCAATCAGTCAGTCAGTCAATCACCTTTGAATTTTATATATATAGATAGACTTAGAATACAAACTTTTTGCCGCTGAGTTCTGGCACGAGACCCGCCATGATGGCTGCCACTCCGACTGCTCCTCCGCCCTCCACCACGTACTTCTCCTGCTCAATCAGACGCAGGATGGCGCGAGCTATCCAGTCCTCGTTCACAGTTATCTGATAAAAAAGAAAACTTGAAGGTTAACTAAAAGTTTGAATTTTATCTGATTAAGATTCAGGAATATCTAAACAAATAAATAAAATTGGAGTAAAATTAAAATAAAAACCGATTTTAACAAAATAACATTTGTATAATTTCTGTTTGTCTGTCTGTTTGTACGGGCTAATCTCAGGAATGGCTGAACAAATTTTAACGGGACTTTTATTGGCTGATGTACTTAGGAGTAACATAGGCTATATTATGTTTAATATCTAACTTTTTATTGTATTTGGTCCGAAGATCAGATATATAAAAATAAAATTTATTATAGAGCATTGAGAATTGTAAATACAAGTGTTCTATGTCTCTATTTCGAATCAAAACCAATAGCTTAATGTTTATAAACAAGATTATTGCAAAAATCTTGTTGTAGCTGACTGACGTAGGTTTATATACCGGTTAGTGACGCTCTTCCGCAGTAGGTAGTACCTACACAGTTGTTTACGTAAATAGTGACGTCGTTGAACCGATTGATAAAAATATTTCACAATTCCGGAACTGACACACCCAAAAAATAAAACAACATAACATAACATCACGCCTTTTATCCCAGAAGGGGTAGGCAGAGGTGTACATTACGGCACGTACAAGTTTCCATATACCGAGCACAATTCCAGACTCCGTGTTACTACTGAGATTTTATGAAAAAACCCAGGAACACTACCTAATCCGGGAATCGAACTTGCAGCAGTCGCAAAATAAAACAAACAACGACAAAATGTCTGCCTATTGGATAGAACTTGCTTTCTAGTTAAGCTACGTTTAGAGGTATATGAAAGGTCTAAAGCTATTTTCAGTACAAATCTTTAGTACGATTCTCAAACCGCTTACCATTCTGTCGACGCAATCCTTGACGGTGGCGAATGCGTTGTAGCCGACGGTGGGCACAGCCAGACCATCCGCCAGAGTAGATCTGATCTCCACGGAGACTGGCTCGTCATGCTTCATCGCATAGTCCATACTCGGACACTTCTCCGTCTCCGCACCCTGTGTGAAATATATATTTACGTATTAACTCGTCGAGTACCGTCATTATAGACACAATTATAGAACAATAGGTTGCGGTCACCGGTGACCGCTTGGTGTTTGACAGTTTAAATATGGAACTTCCAGTTTACAGTCTAAACTAGCTACTTTCTCGCGGTTTCCCACGCACTGCTCAGCTCCTATTGGTCGTAGCGTGATGTTTTATAGCCTATAGCCATCCTCGATAAATGCGCTAGACAACACAAAAAGAATTATTCAAATCAGACTTGTAGTTACGGAGATAAGCGCGTTCAAACAAACAAACAAACAAACTCTTCCGCTTTAAATAATAGTATAAGATTAATGAAATTCAAACAGATGAAAGCTGCTGCAAATCCCTCTAATGAGCCTGATTGACAATTTGATGGAAACCGTGGATATTTTCAAAATAATCGGCGATAATCCTTTATAAGAGATAGACAGCTTGTGGTATGTAACTACAATGTGTATATAGTTGTAGGATAAACCAATTGTCTGAAAATTGTGGTTGTTTTGCAATTGTCAGTACCTACTCAGTATGCTTGCACCATGCTATAAGAGATATATTTTCATCTGATGAAAAGTTGTACTGGCAAACTTAGTTGCGTTTATTTACTGAATTCTAACATTATACTGGCATAAAATCAGTACAACGTTTTGTTATTACAAGCAATTAAATGTATGCGGAAAGTTGCGCATTTGAGAGACGCTCGGATGTTTTGAGGCGCATATTACGATGTTTGTAGTCTGAGTTCGAGTTAAAAGATAACCTTTTTGCGTCACATTAAAAATATTAATCTCGACTTGATTGAAGTTCGACAGTAAAATAAATGAAAGTTCCGTTAGGTAATGACTAAAGTATCTTTCAACTAGGAGGGCTTTCAACTAGGAGGGAGGGAGGGAGGAGGAACCCACTCATTCAGCCTCTTTTTCATTTATTTGATTGATCTGTTAAATGGCGTTGGCAACGATTAGATAGCCGGTGAGATTGAGCTTGGCAACGTTGAGCGTTAACCTTTGGCTCTCTAACAAGAGGGGCCTATAATAATAGGTATACTTAGATATGTTATCATCAGTTGTGGACAGAAACAGCCTGATGATGAGACAGCATACAATGGCCGCAGTCCAGCCTAGACTAGAGTTGCTAAGAAAGAAGTTTGCTAGTGAATAAAAACTCCACAGCTTCTACTCACTTTCGCGCCATCGCTGGCTCTAATCAGTACCGTCTGCCCAAGTTCAAACCCGTTCGAACTAGTAATTAGTTACAATATCAGACGATAATAGAACTTACTGATAGAGATGTTTAGATATTATTAATAATCGTATGTTTTAGATAGTTTATTAACTGTTATGTACATTGTGTATTTGGTAACATTATTAACACGTTCACTAACTTCTTTCCTCTAACTTGCCCATCTAAATATTTAGCCAGACAACATCGAGATGAATTTTAAATCCAATAGAAAGTAGGTAGTTTAGGTTTTATAGAAACCCATACTTACTAGGTAGTATAGGGATCTAGTATGTTTCCTAGTTCACGTTTGTGTGAGATTTTAGATGCTTGTATTTGTAATATTTTTAAAGATGTAGTAGTAAAGTGGTCACGCTTTGTTAAAGTCCTTAGTCACAGCGTAGCTTGTAGTAAAGCTACTAAAATCCTCATTTATCCCATTCCCTCTTGATTTACCTATATACAAATAAATAAAATTCGAGTGTCTGTTTGTAATATTAAAATAACCATGTTTTACTACATGCATATGATCTAGGGTATGTAGATCTATCCCTATATCCCTATATACATACGATACACATAACAAAATAACATTTTTTTATTTTTTTTTTCTGTCTGTTTGCACTGGCTAATCTCAGGAATGGCTGGACCAATTTTGCAAGATTTTTATGGGCAGAAAGCTGATGTACTAAGGAGTAACATGGGCTATTTTTATTTATAAATAAAAAAAGTTATGTTCTAAAATTTATATTTGACTATTTATAATATATATAGTCAAATAATAAAATTGTACTATTCTAAAAATAGGTTATCTCGCTGTTATCAGGTAGCAAACTATTGATCCGAGATTCTGTTTTCTTAATAAAAGTAACGAGACGAGCCAACCAATTACAAAATAAGCCAAAGTACTTACGTGATAAGAAAATGTATGTGTCAATGTTTGTTTATCTGAGACCTTTGGCGTCGTTTAAATAGGTTTAAATATAACAAAACGTGTCGAGACAATAACGGGTTACCTACAGCACAGCACTGATGTTCCGGCTTAGTAATACACTGTTATTTAACTGTACCTAGGTATTTAACAAAGTATTACTGGGGTGTTTTAAAAAAAAATCTGTAGTAGCACGTAGCATGGAACTGTGCCCGGTATATGGCAGTAGGCTCACCCCCATTACATGGGACTCATACACATAAATAGTGAAAAGTGGGTGTTGTTACATACATTGTACAGTGGTTTTGAGTGCTGTAATGTGCACCTGCCTACCCCTTCGGGGATAAAAAGCGTAATGTAATGTATGCTAACAAATAAATCAGTACCTCTACGGTTTCTATTGCGTTTCCTCAAGAATGTCTACTATTCGATAGTAAGTAAGTACTTATGTTCGTTTACAAACACGTTTGTATACTTTCAGATAGCTATGTATTTACCGACTTCAAAAAAAGGAGGAGGTACTATGTTCGGCTGATTGTTTTTTTTTGCGTATTCAGGACATTTTTATTCTAGTTATTATATAGATTTTATAAATTGATAATCTTGAAAACTTATTCCGTGAACTTTGCTTGAACCAATTGAATGGTGAACTCAAGCACTCACCCTCACGTAACTAACACATTTTTTTTAATTCATACATATTGCCGTTTCCGTTATAGTCTGAAGAAAAGTGAAATGAGTCCATTTTGCTTGTATGAGGCTAGTTTATTTTTCGAGTCGCTTCGTAAGATTAAGATTAAATATTGTTTAAATTTGTAATTAAGATTTTAAGGTTCCTATGTCACTTTTTTCATTCAATTTTTTTTTGTATACCTATTTGTTGAAATCTTTGACTAAAGTATGTGGGATCCTTTACTAATTATAAGAGCTCCGGTCGTTACTACAAACCTATAAAGGTGAAATATTCCAACTCCAGATCTCAGGACCCCATACTAATTCCTATATAGGTACTTAGCCACATCGTACTAACATGATACCGAAAAATCTGATGAAATAATGGCTAATTAGTTGTATTTGACTTTATGTCGTTTATTATCAAATCACCCGACTGCTATCCACCATAATGATAAACAGTGACCTCTAGATATAATATTTCGCCTCGGATACTGATCACAGGTCAGACAGCGCGTGCTAATATCTCATACTAAATTTCTTACCAAAAGTTATACCTAGGCATACACAATGTTTCGCCCGTTAGGTACCTACCTACGTTATGAGTCTTCCGTCAAAGTTCAAATTTTGGTTCGGTGTAGATGATACAAGTACCTTGGATATTGATTGATTAGTGAGCAGCTTTTGCGGTTTTAGCTCATATTCTTTTATAATGTCACTTAACACACCACATATGTATGTACTTATGCACCACATTCTGACCCTTTTTTTTTTTTTTTTTTTTTTTTTTTTTTAAGGGGGGAAAATCATCGAATGACTGCCCCCGCCTGGGTGAGGCGGGAGGGAGTGTCAGACTCTTACTGACTAAAAACCACCCCGTTCCTTCTCCTGCACGTCGAGCCGGAGCCCCGGTTACCCGTTAGGTTCTCCGCGACTCCGAATCGGCATCGGCCCTATTGGGCCCCATCTGTGGTGGTCTGATGGCTCTTTGAGGCGCGCGCGGAACGCGACGCGCCGTACGCTCGGGTCTGTTTCTGGTCGGACGGGGAGCCACCCATGCTCGCCGTCCGCAGGCCCGCGCTTACGGTGGCCGGAGATCGTCCCGCGATCCCCGACGCCCGGTGTGTCCTTCGCGATGGCTGGGTTGCGACTGTTGCGAGGAGGCAGCGCTTCGCTGCCTCACGCGTCCCGCCTCCTCCTTAGCTAGCATGACTGCTTCGCAAAAGGAGGAGACGGCATCCCAGTCCCCCTCGCTCCGCATCATGGCCCGCACTAGGCCCGGACGCGAGAGGACATTCTGACCCTTAAAGATGCGTTGTGTTGTTTCGCAAAGATATTATTAGCCCAATCAGAATGCTCGAAACTAGACGGGTTGATGTTACTTAACAAAAGCCAACTATTTTAGATCAATACCTATGTAGAAGACTCTTTATACTTAAGTAAGCACCTTTATGTAAATAAATAGGCCAAACCAGAGACAAAATAAACCTTCTTTGGGCCAGTTCTGTAGCTGATTGTTCTGAAAATTCTTAGCCTAAGACTCTTTGGTACCTATTATGTAATCGAATGACTGGTGACATTATGAGCTCGTCAATTCCTAGACATTCATAGATATCGTGCTGAACATCAACATTGGATCATTGATGTAAACAGAACGAAGTTTATACCACACATCAGTCTAGATAACCTTTCGCATCAAGTGCAACTGGTATCTATCTATAATAAGTAGTTTGAACTCTAGAGGTATATAGCTACTGAAAGGCTTCATTATTGTGGGCACTAGTCGTCTATTTGTTGTTATAAATTAATTAATATAAGACCTAATGACCTAATTGCGAATGTAGACACAAGTTTATGAAACGTTTTCCGGTAAAATGGTCTCATTTTTCAAAAACTTCCAATAGCGAAAATCAATATTACCGGCGATCGACGTTCGAGGTCTACAAAAAGTAATTAAGACAATTTAAGTAAAGCACATTTTAGAGAGTAGATAACAACTTTCTCACCCTTGCGTCATTCGTGTCAAGAATGACAATACACAGATGACGTCAAACATGACATAGCCCGAGAATCGTGAGTAACCGCTACGGGCCACGCCTATCGATCGTAAACAGTCGCGCCAGTCCGTGACATGTGACCGGTAATGATCTCACGAGTACGACCGACCACACTTCTGACTCCGAAAGCGGAAGGAAGGAACGTTATTAAAGTCGTCTTTGATCAATTGTGTAGAGTAAAACAGTAAGAAGTTTATACTCAAGTTATGTACCAAACAATTTAATACAGAATTTTGATTAAGAATAGATTTACAAAATGATACATATTAGTAAGGTACCTACAATTTAGAGTCCTGTCTAATGGACGATCGAGAGAAAATAATCAATAAAATTATATACTTCATAAATGTTTTCTAAATAGAAAAATTCAAGAATTTGTCCGAATCAGTCTATGTATTTCTGTGACGAAACAATCAACAAAGCAGTCTCACACAAAAGAATAACAAAAAGTGTTAGCGAGCTAATCTGCCCATCTTACCTTCGCGTCGGAGCTTTCCCGACTTGACCTGTTAGTAATAGTTGGATAACATAGGTAGTTCGCACTAAAATTCGTTTTAATGTCCCTAATGAGTGCGAAGGTACCAATTAGCTGCTGTAGGTAGGTAGGTAGGTAAATGAAAAATACAACTTACGTAAATAAGAACGTGAGGCTTCAGATGTTTGATTGCGGTGGCGACGCCAGCCAGCAGCCCGCCTCCTCCCACGGGCACTATCACGGCGTCCACATCAGGCACCTGCTCTATGATCTCCAGACCCACCGTGCCTTGTCCCGCCATTATGTGTGGATGGTCATAACTACACATATAAACAAAACATAGATAAACAGTTGTTTCAGTTTCCAAGCTAATTAGGTTAATTTGTAATGAGAAAATAATTTGTAGCTGATACATTTGTTCGTGAATTTTAGTTTGTTTGTTAATTGATTCTGCTGTTTACGAGTAAACAAAGAAACTTCTTTTAGTAAAGAAGGCTGATCACATAGTTGAGCAGTAAAATCCCACTGATTGTTGATGACGCATTAAACAAAGCTTAAAATATTTTGGTACAGACAGAGACTGAAATGACTTTAAATAGATACAGAGTCCAGACGTTTAGTAAGTAACTTTCATGAGGAAATAAATACATATTGGATGACAGAGAACATAGTGTATAATGTTGGGAAGACAGACAAAATATCGTAACAAGCCTACAAGTAAAGTAAAGTAAAGTACTTACCTACAAGTAAAGAAGTACTTACCTCTAAGTAATGCGTAATCATGCCTACCACCCATCTAATTATTAGTACATAGGTACTTCAGGAATGTTTAAATCTCTCCAATTATTGATTATAAACGTGTATATGTAACGTAAACATTAAAACTAGTACCTATTTAAAATTGCACTGTCCATGAAATACCTAGGTAAGTACTTAACTTAATCGCAATAAGTCACGCGAGGAAAATATGAAACAGGCATGCGAGTATCACAAGGATACTTACCCGTTGATATAGATCAGAGACTTTTCTTTTGCTAGGGTCATGGCATGATATTTAGCCTCCTTCATGTCATGTCCATGGATGATGACGTTGGCCCCATAAGACCGGCACTTTTCTATCTTCATGATCGGAGCCACGTTGGGCATCACGACTGTGGCGGGAATGTTCAGGTTGTTCGCATGGTAACTCAGGGCTTGGGAGTGATTACCAAGTGATGCAGAAATCACGCCACGAGTTTTATTCTCCTTTGATAATAAAAGGAGAGCATTTCGTGCACCGCGTTCCTTGAAACTGTTCAATGAAAAGGTAGTTTCTATAAGTATAGGTGAACTGTCTTAGCAGATGCTAATTAGACTCAAATACTTCACCGCGTTTAGAATAGAATATGAAGATGATTGATCCAAATATTTTACGAATTACGATCCAAATATTATACAATGATAACAAGTGTGATTTGAATCACAAGGTCTTAAATTCGATCCCGAGGGAAGGGAGCGAACTGAGATTGTGTAGCCACGTATAATACGTACCTATTTCAAATTCTTAAAAGTAGGCATAGGTACTATCTAAGGATGATATGACAATAAGAGTGAATGCATGAGTCATGATCCTATTAAAATAAGACTAAATTGTCAAAATGTCGATAGGTAATTACTTATGTGCTCATTTGTAAATTAATTACACGTACCTCCCAGTGTGTTGAAGAAAATCGTTTTTCAGGTAAATGTCCATTCCAAACGTGTTAGACATATGGGATTTCTAAAAAACACGTAGGTATATTAACTCACTTTATTACAAAATAAGCATTTAATTGAAAATAAATAAATCTGATGAGAAATAGTAAATTGGTAAGGGTGATGACAAATACTACAAAAGAAATAAAAAAACTGGTAAATTACCTAGGTATTAGAAAACTTAAGGGTTAAGAAGGTAATTAGGTATTTAACTTTAGAATAGATCTTTGACCCTACAGTTCCTACTTCCTATACCTATCAATCTAAGGTACAGGTTGGGGATGTAGTTACTCACCACGCATGGCGTTTTAACAATCTGGCTCTGGATCCTATAAGCAGCAGCAGATACATCTTCAAACGATATTTTCTGTGGCTTCTCCTTATCACACATCGGATCGTACTCTACTGTCTGGAACACCATTGTTACTTAACTTTCGATAATAACACTTAACATAGTTAAAATTAATGACCCGCTAGGCCTCGATTCCCCTTGGCTCTCTCCGAAGGAATGATTATTTCAAAGCGTTATCGCGTATAAAAGCACTAATTATTATAAGACAAGGGTTAAAGGTGAATCTATGTTCGCGATGGAATATGCCTGATCTATCAACGTATTAGGCCAGTAGGTGTGCACCTATCAGTAATAAATAAGTAGGCACTTACTACGGGTTCAAGCCTGTAGCGCTCCATTTAGATGGGTATTATATTAATTTTTATTTTAATATTTAATGAACACAATCACTTCGACCGACTGCGGAGCGGCTCAGTAGAAAAATGAGTTGTTTGTTTAATTTTGGTCATGTTAGGAATTGATAACAGATTTCTGCAGTTTGAGATAGTTGCAAAATAATCATGTAACTTATTTTATGCTTGGTAATGTTAAAATAGGTGCCTGGTAAATCTAACAAGCTTTCTTTTAAATATAAAAACAAATTATTGTAAACTAAACCTGATGAAAACCAAAAATAAATCATGAGTAAATTTGACAATAAATAAGAATACTCTTAGTTTTTACTATAATGTGTACAGTTTTAATTAAAGTAGTAAAGTTCAATATTTTAAGTAGTAAAGTAATAAATAAGTAAGTCGCATAAAGTTTTTAGTTAGGTAACATAATAATAAAACGTATAATAATATTATTTTTAATCTGTACACGACACTGTCAAATCTGACAAATGACTGCTTCGCTTCGCTGACTGACGTTTCAAACAAAATTACAAACTATTGGCGTCGTGAGGTTATTTTGTTAGTGTATTGTTTAAAATTACGAGAATAATTAGTAGTAAGTGCATTGTAATTAAAAGAAGTTTGTACCGTACTCACGATGCCTTACGCTAATCAGCCTTCCGTTCATATCACAGAATTGACAGACGACAATGTAAAGTTTGTCGTTGAAGACACCGAACTTAGCGTTGCCAACAGTATGAGACGTGTGTTTATAGCTGAAACACCGACGATGGCTATTGATTGGGTGCAGTTGGAAGCCAATTCCACTGTACTCAGCGATGAATTCCTGGCTCACCGTATCGGCCTCATTCCGTTGATATCAGATGACGTCGTCGACAAAATTCGATATTCCAGAGATTGTATGTGCGCAGATTTCTGTTCAGAGTGCAGCGTAGAGTTTACCCTTGATGTGAAATGTACAGGTGATCAGACAAGACACGTTACTACGGCTGACTTAAAATCGAGTGACCCTCGAGTGGTGCCGGTGACGTCACGACATAGGGACGAGGACCAGGCCGATTATGGTGAAACTGACGAAATATTAATTATAAAACTTCGTAAAGGACAGGAATTGAAACTGAGAGCATATGCAAAGAAAGGTTTTGGAAAGGAACATGCAAAATGGAATCCCACTGCCGGAGTCTCCTTTGAATATGACCCGGACAACATGATGAGGCATACACTGTACCCTAAACCTGATGAGTGGCCTAAAAGTGAACACACTGAGTTGGACGAGGATCAGTATGAAGCAGAATTTAATTGGGAAGCTAAGCCAAACAAATTCTTTTACAATGTTGAGTCATCCGGAGCACTCAAACCAGAAAACATAGTACTGATGGGTATAGTTGTGTTGAAGAACAAATTGCTCAATCTACAAGTACAGTTAGCACAAGAAGCCCAGAATGATGCATTAGCTATCAATTAAATTTTAAGACTAGTATTAATATAATTATGTAATAAATAAATTCTTTTTGAAGTCAACACATTGTTTTATTAACATACTGGAAGCCGAAGAATATTATACAATGTAGATACTCCATCTTCATGATAACTTTGGATGGAACTTCTAATTCTATTATTCAACAACTAGCAACAAATGAGTTATTGTCTATTATCCATTTCATATGTACAGTAATGAAACATAAACTTGTAGAAACTTGTTTTTTTCATACATTTGTATACTTTGGAACAATACGTTAATTGTTTTCCTGATGAGTAGTATTGTTGTTCGTTAAAATAATAGTTACTTCTTTATTTTTGAGGGGGTTAATCATCCAATTCCTTCGCCTGGGTGAGGTGAGAGCGAGTGTCAGACTCTTACTGACTAATTAACTTGGCTGCGGCATGTTGCGCTGCAGTTTACCTAAGTTTTGTTTACCTTTGTGAACACAGAAATATCTTTAATATATCTGTGTTTGTGAATGTGCATACTGCACTGTGTGACATTGATGCTCATATGAGGTAAAGTACTTTACAGCTTTCTCCTTATTAAAAAAATATAAATAAAGAATTAAATAAAAATGCCCTTTATTCCACTAATTAAAATTGTAGACAAAAACTTATTTAGATAAATCATTTCAAAGTAAACAAATATTAATACCTAGCTGTCCTTGCAACTTCGTTTGCGTTTTTCTAAAATAAACGTAGCCTATGTTACTCGTAAGTATGTACTAAAAAAAATATTTCGAATGGCAGGTAGCTAATGTGCTAAGGAGTAACATAGGGAGCTACCAATAAAAGTCCCGTCCTGTCTGTTGTGTCGTGTCGATATGTCATATCGGTCGTATATGTCGTATCTGGTAGTTTGTCGTATATGTCGTGTCGGTTGGGTCTGTCGTGTTTGCCGTGTCTGTCATATGTCGTGTCGGTCGTGTCTGTCGTATAGTATGTCGTGTCTGTCGTGTCTGGTGTGTCGGTCGTTTATGTCGTGTCGGTCGGGTTGATCGGATGGTTTGTCGTATATGTTTTGTCGGTGTTGTATGGTGTGTTTGTCGTATATGTCGTGTCTGGTGTGTCTGTCGTATATGTCGTGTCGTCGGGTTGGTCGTGTCTGGTGTGTTTGTCGTGTTTGCCGTGTCGGTCGTATATATCGTGTGTGTCGTATACTACGTCATGTCGGTCGTATATGTTGTGTCGGTCGGGTCGGTAGTGTCTGCAGTGTCTGTCATGTTGGTCGTGTCTAGTGTGTTTGTCGTATATATCGTGTCGGTCGGGTCTGTCGTGTCAGTTGTATACGTCGTGTCTGTCGTATATGTCGTGTCTGGTGTGTCGGTCGTATATGTCGTGTCGGTCGAGTGGTTTGTCGTATATGTCGGGTCGGTCGTGTCTGTCGTATATGTCGTGCCGGTCGAGTGGTTTGTCGTATATGTCGGGTCTGTCGTATCTGTCGTATAGTATGTCGTGACTATCGTGTGTGTTGTGTCTGTTGTGTTGCGTATGTCGTGTCTGTCATGTTACATCAGCAAAATGGTGGAAGCAAAAAAGAAAAAATGCATAAAATTCTTGTTTGCCAACTCAATGAGTCAAGTAATAACTTGGTCGGTAACAACTTTGTCTGCCAATAAAAGTCTTGTTAAAATTGGTTCAGCCATTCCAGAGATTAGCCAGTACAAACAGCCAGACAGACAGGCAAAAATAATTAAAAAAATATATTTTAGTATGAGTTTCGTATGTATATTCGTAAGCATGGAGTAAGTGTTTAAGCGGTTATTTTAATATTACATACAAGCGCTCCAATTTTATTTATCTGTAGATGTTATATACTTTCTCTTAAGTTGTTTATCTAAATCCGTCCCTTAACTTGTTTCTTCTAGTTTATTTTCGCTAGCGGTCACCTAACAAAAACATTAACTTAGATTATTCACCATCACAAAATTCTGAGTTCGACCTATTTTAGTGCATTTTTATTCTAGAAACAATATCAGGCAAGATGTAAACATTAAAAATATCCGTAAATAAATGTTGTCAATAAGACATTCCTTTCTTTCATTCAATTTCAATACCGCAACATGTATTTTATAAAATAAACCAAACATTCACAAAATGCTAAATTGAAAAAAAAATCTGAACTGTAAACTAAAGCAACGAATAATATTTATAATTTATTTTACAATAGCGTTTGACTAATTACTCACACGCACGCACAACATGTCGCAAGCTGTTGAAGCTGAGCATTCGTCTCTAACGTGGAACATTCTGGGCGATAGTTTTCCGAAACAATATGAAACTAGCGAGGTAAGTAGGTAGTTACCCGTGGTAAGATTTAAAAGCAAGGATTATTGCTGTTTCTCTTTTTAAATTAACCCTTCGGTACGTAGACCTACGCGAGACACATTTTTTTTTGTATTGTGTCTCATAAACCAGCACTCAAGGGGTTCAAAGCCTCACACTTGGATGTCTCGTAGATATACGAACCATCCAGTCTCGAAACAATAATTAATTTGGGACTTTGTGGATCTAAAAGAATTGTTTAGTGCGGGAATCGAACCCATGACACGTTGCACAGGAGCCATATTATGCTAACCATGTACTCTTCATATTTCTGAATAGCTGTGATACAATATGACACTGATGAGTCGTTTGTTTAGTCAGGTAGTAACTTATTGCTATTAATTTATCTTCAGGAAGTTGTTATGAAACCTAAAGAAGAAAGCATGAGTAAGATTAAACTAAAACTACAAGATATACAAGATGCGCATAATCGGATCAAAAACGATGTAGTCTTCACACCAGTTGTTGTGAGTTTTTTTTATTTTTATAGGTACTAAACTAATTTATGAACTGGATGAATATTAGGATTAAGTTTATCGTTGTGCTAGTGTAGTTAATATTATTATTACCTAATCCATTATTATAAACCCTGGGTGCTGTTTAGCATGTAGTTTAATAATAATACGAATTACTTAACTAATAAATAATTAAAACATTTTTAGGAAGCAAAATATATAGGAAAAAATTTTTGCAACATTTTCTTGAAATGTGAAAATTTGCAGAACACTGGAAGGTATGTGAAATGAAAAAAATCATAAGAAATTGATGTTATTGGCTGTTTTCACCCTGTCCTCAATATTTCTTACGTTTGTAGTTTCAAAGCGCGCGGAGCCTGTAACATCCTATCCAGCATGTCACCTTCAGACAAGAGCAAAGGTTGCACCGTGTCAGGAGGACGCAACTATCTTTCTGCCATGACATTCTATGGATTCAGGCAGTCAGTCCCTGTCAATGTAATTGTACCGAGAGATTGTCCTCTGGTCGACAAACATCTATACAAGGAGAACTTTGCGATTGTGAAGGTGCATGGTAACGACCTCAACGATGCCAGCCTGCATGCACTCACTTATTGTGATGAAATCGGTTCAAATTATATACACGGGTAAATTACTTCTACTTGCATTTTCTTAATTTCAGATCCAACCCTATAATTTATTCATGCGGCCCTTAAGTGCTAAGTTGTTTTTGCCTCCTTTTTTCTATGCATCAGATACGAGTTCTAAAAACTAAGATGTCGAGTCTTTGAACTTTATCTGACAGGTCAGACCGATTGGACTTAATTGCGGGCTACGGCACCATGGGACTGGAGCTGCTGACACAGATGGACAAGATGGACGCCATCCTGTGTCCTGTCGGCAGCGGCGGGCTTGTCGCAAGTCTCGTGCTGGCGGTCAAGAGCCTCAAACCCAACTGCCTTATATACGTATGATATTTTCATTTAATGCTACGGTCGTCATCAAGTATCTTATTCTCAAAAGGATTACAAACTAACGGGTTAATAAGAATCAGTTTCTCGCCGTACTTACGCCACGCACTACTACCGACAGTTTATTTTTCTTCTAGAAGTAAACGTTATGGCACCTATTAGGTACTGTTTATTTATACTTAGACTAATACGGGGAGTTTGACATTTAATTTTGCCATATAATAAAGATACCTGCAGACCGAAATCGGAACGTAAATAACTTAAACTTTTTGTTAGGGCGTGGAATGCTCAGCGGCCCCAACCATGACCAAAGCTCTCCAAGAGAAGAAGCCAGTCATGATCCAGCAGAACCCGACGATTGCCGATAGTCTATGCAGTGTCATTGCCAGCAACAATGCCTTCAACATCATCAGGGGATATCTGGATAGAATGGTTTATACTTACAAAAAATTATATTTATCTTCCTTCCTAACAACGCTTCCCATGAAAATCGAAAAAAGGTTTTGAAATTCACTTTGAAAGGATACGATAGGTTACCGGCTATATGGAGATCGGAACGTATGAACGTTTACCAAATTGAGATTTTGGTATTGATAGTATTTTTTTTAGCTTTGCATAAGTTTTCATGAAGTAAATAATTGTGGACAAATATTTTATAGATAACTGTAGATGAAGTGTGGGTTTCGCGCGCGATGATCAATATCCTGGAGCGAGAGAAGATGGTGGTCGAGGGCGCGGCTGCGTGCCCTGTGGCTGCTGTAATGGCTGGGAAAGTTCCAGAACTTCGTGGGAAAAAGTAAGCATCCACATAGGTACCGCCATATAGAGGAACTTCAGCATGCTAACATGCAGTTTCTTTAGAATATACACCGTGATATTTTAATGGTTGTTTTCCCACAGTAAAATGATTCTATTTTAGTAGTACAATAGATTGAGAAAGTTGTTTTTAATTTAAATAAAAAAATAGCAGTTTTACGATAGTGATACACGAAACTTGAAAGAAACCGCGAACCAATAGTACCGCCGCGACCGGCCACCGGCCGCTGTCATTGTCGCTCGCGCTTATCAAAAGGCTGATAACTCAGTATTTACTAACAAGTGATTTCCATTTTCCCTTCATACTTTAACGGGCTTAGGACCGTCGTAAATACTTTTTAACTACACTTACTAAACACAAACATAAAACAAAATTTAATCAAGAGATATTATCTTGTTTATTACTGAATTTGGGAAAGTATTTATGGCGTATTTAAAAAATGGGAATCAACGTATTTACAATGATTTTAATCACCTATCTTATTGTTTTATTTACAAATGTACAAGTACTTACACTTCCCGGTAACGGAGCAATTGTTCAAAGTGTAAGCCACCGCGTTCCACACACAATCGTGCACGTTTTAACTGATTGGCTTTCAATTTTAATAATGTGTCTCTGTCACGTCTAATCACATCAAAAGCGTCCACTATCGCACTTTTTAACGCGTCGCGAGTTTCGTACTCTTGCCGATACACAAGGCGTTTGAGATTAGACCACAAATAAAAGTCTAGTGGAGTAAGATCCGGGCTTCGTGGTGGCCATGGCACTGGCCCGCCACGACCGATCCAACGCTGGGGAAACACCGAGTCGAGGTGCTCTCGCACGGCGCGCTGATAATGCGCAGGGCAACCATCGTGCTGGTAATACAGGCCATCCATGGGCACTGCTAACGGAATGTCATCTAGTAAGTCCGGGATAACACTACGTAGCATTTGTAGGTACGTTTCACCGGTTAAGTGTCCTGTCACAAAATGCGGACCAATTAAGCAGCCGTTTATTATACCGGCCCACACGTTTACACTAAACCGCACTTGATGCGCACATTCCCGAATAACGTGTGGGTTATTAAAAGCCCAAAAATCATAATTCGCCCTCGCGTACAATTGCACCATAGCTACGTACTCCACATTAGAAAAAACGTAATGGCGATCCATTTTGGCGGCAATAATATTGTACTGCGCTTGCGTGGTTGCGCGGACGGCGTTCGCGGTGCGACTGGTGTGAATGAAAGCGATGCGAGGCGATGCGGGCCGATGCGAGTGACAGAGAGCGCGGTGGTTGCCTTTGTTGTTTGTCGTGAGGCGATCCGCTCGCGCGCGCGTGCATTGCAGTTTATGCTGTATTACTTAGTCCGAGAGATTATTTTACTATGAACATTGATTTGACGTCACATTTTAGAAGAGAAACTATCGTTTCTCATGCTTTCGAGTTGATGATTATTTTTTTGAGTATATGAGGAGAAAAAAAATTATTTTTAAGTTTAAGTTTAATGATTGTTTATTCACTCATAAAAAACATGGTTTACTTACAATGAGCTTAAATGACTATTTATAGCTATGTATACAGAGTCATGACCAAACGGTGTTAATAAATATTTTCAGATACATATTTTCTTAAGCTATTTTTGAACATGGCAATCGACTGACATTCCTTAATATTATTTGGCAAATTATTATACAATTGTGCTCCCTCATATGTTATACATTTTTTACCGTAATTTGTTTTGTGCCTTTGTAGTTTAATTTTGTTTGCATTTCTCAAGGAATGATAAAATGATCTCATAGTAAACTTGATCTCAGATTGTATTTGACCCGTTAGTATTTTTCTCACCAGCAAGCACATATTGTAAGTGTAGGTCTGTTGCAAGTTAAATATTTTTGTTTCAGTATATAATTGACGTGTATTAGTAAGATAGTCATAGTTAAATAGAGATTTAATGGCTTTGTTTTGTGAAACTTGAAGACCATGCAAATTAGACTTAGCAGCACATCCCCATATTTCTATAAGATACTCTAAGTGAGACCTTACGAGAGAATTATATATGGTCATGCGTACTTTTTGTGGAATACAACCTGATGCTCTTCTAAGAATCCCAGTCAGTGATGATAATTTCGATTTGACATAGGCAATGTGGTTCCTCCAAGTTACTTTATCATCAAGTCGCAAACCTAAATATTTTTCGTGATGGGAGCGATGGATAACAACATTATCTATAGTTAACAAGGGGTATTGAGGGATCCTTTTATTTTTAGCTGAAAATAGCATGTATGATGTTTTACTGGTATTCACTGTTAGTAAGTTACTTTGGCACCATATACTAAATTTATGTAAATCACTCTGTGCTTCATTAACAATGTGAGTTAGACTTCGACCGTAATAAAAAAGACACGTGTCATCTGCGTACAGTGTAACATGTCCGGCTAGACCAATTTTACTTATGTTATTCACATAAATTAAGAATAACAACGGACCCAGGACCGAGCCCTGGGGAACACCGCAAACTATCTTTTGACTGTCGCTTTTATATTTTTCCATCTTAACAATCTGATGCCGATCTGTCAAGTAAGATTTAAATAATTCGAGAGCTTTATCTGTTATGCCTAGGTCCAGTAATTTATTAATCAGTATATCATGACTGACGGTATCAAAAGCTTTTTTAAAATCTACAAATATGCCCAAAACAAATTTCCCATCATCAATATTATTTTTAATTTTTGTTACGAGGTCAATAGTTGCAGATAAAGTACTACATTTAGTCCTGAAACCGTATTGATGTTGATATAAATAGTTAATTTTGTTTAAATGTTCGTGCAGTCTGTTGTATATTATCTTTTCGAAAACCTTTGATATGACAGGCAAAACAGACACAGGTCGATAATTCCCAGGATCATTCCTGCTGCCCGACTTAAAGATAGGAGTAACCCTAGCCAATTTAAGGCTTTCAGGAAATATGCCGGCACTAAGACAATTATTTATGCACTTAGCTAGATTTTCAGCTATGATATTGGCTATACATTTTAAAGATTTAGTATTAATTTCATCAATACCAGAACTGCAATTTACATCTAATCCATTGATAATCTTTAATACTTCAGAGTGGGAACAAGGCCTCATTTCCTTTAAGTACATTTCTACGGGGTTGACATTGTAGGTAAGTGTGTAAAATGAGTTATTAATATAGGTTTTTGGAATTCTATCTGCTAAATCGGTACCAACAGTTGAGAAAAATATATTAAAATGATTACATATTTCTATGGGGTCAGTTACACTTTTAGAATTTATTGTGAGCTTAAGAGGGGCACTATTATCTCTATTTATATTACTTACTAGCGAATTTATCAAGCACCATGTCTTCTTTGGATTCTGACACTTTTTAAATTCTTTCAGATAATAGGTTTCCTTTGTATCTTTGATTAAAGTTCTAATTTGGTTTCTCTCTTTGATAAATTCCTTTCTTAGTTTTTCAAAAAGTAACTTGCATTATTCGATAGTACTACTAAAGGGAAATCGTTCTGCTGCGGGAAAACAACCATCAATATGTCAGCGTGTAGATGGCTAAAGCCCGATGCGAAAACTGCAGTTTTGTTTACGCAAGGCATACGAAGCTTTAGAACTAACTACACAAAAAATCTTGTATAATTGAGTTTAATACGTTCCAATCCACAGAAAATTTCACAATTTCTACATTTGTTTCAGTGTTGTATGTATTCTGTCGGGTGGTAATATTAACAGCAGTCGTATGTCCCGGGTCATTGACCGCGGTATGGCAGCTGAAGGTCGTCTTGTCAAGTTCAGCGTGGCACTGCCAGACGTGCCAGGCGCCATGGCCAAGCTGCTGGCCAAAGTCACCGACAACGGTGCTGATGTCAAGAGCTTCGTGCCTGAACGCGCTTGGATGAGACGGGACATATTTACTGTTTCTGTACGTGTTTTCTTACAACTGTTAGACCTACTTACTTTGATACATGATACATTATCAACTCATGACAACCCACTGTTGGACTATGGGCCTCCTCTTCATAAGAGTCGAAGGGTCAGGTTTATCAGAGAACGCTACAACCACGTGTTAGTCTTTTGTTACGACACCTGTGTGCAGCTAGTTATGTAACTTTAAATTCGGAAGAGTGATCTTGATCGCTGTCCGTCATCCGTCATGTCATTGGTTGTGAGAATAATCTCGACCAATGACGGGGATTTGCCATCAAGCTCACATCGAAAACTCGAATTGACAGTCACAGAATAACCTAGCTAGAGTAAAAGTGGTGACTATTGCATTCTACTGAACCATTACCACACCCACCGGTCATGATATGAAGGAATCTAATAAGGACCCTGTTAAGCAGAAAACATCCAGCCCATATTTTATTACTTTTGAGTAAATGAAGTTTAAAGTTTAGCAGATAATAAAAAATCATATGACACAGTACCTATTTAATGATATGATGCAGTACCTATTTAACAGGTACTGTGTCATATGATTTTCTTTAAGTAATAAAATGTGGGCTGTATCATTTCTGCTTAACAGGGTCCATTATTAAGTAGCAATGTTACATTTATGACACGTGTACTCTTGTGCAGGTTAACATGTTGATAGAAACGGGCGACATGCACCACGCCAAGGACTTAGAGAAGAAGCTGATGAAGGACTATCCTCACTCACACTTCATTATGGTGTAGTAGAACTACTAGTATCTAATGTACCCGCGTCTGTAACTGTACAATATTGCAATATATCGCCACAACAATGCTGAATTCAATAAATTACATTATATGATTGAATTTTCAAATTGAAATTGTTTTATTTCACCTAAATAGGCAGGATAGGTCCTAAATTCACATGTAATAGTTTTATAATATTATGCTGATAGTGTTTCAGTAGGAACCCCCCATCCCCTATACTCTTTGGAGGCCACGGTCCGGAAACAAGCAGTAATAAGCTCGTGCAATAAGTTTTTCTCGTCTATATTGATACCATAAAAATAAATCAAATCCTCTTTCAGAAATTTTGACACGTACTCGCACTTTATGGCCAAAAAGTAATGTCTATTTTACTGAAAGCATGAGCAAATAACAAATTCATATTTTTCAGCGAATAAAATCTAAATTCTAGTGTACGTTTGTTAGGCAACGATAGCAAAAATGGTAAATTAAAGAGTAATTGTAAAGTACCTAATATGAATACCGAGATAGCGACCAAGATATTTCATATTGTGACTAGTTTCAGAATGATTTTCGCGGATCGGATGATCAACCACATGTTTTATCATTCAATGAAGTCAAAAAGGCTGCGGATAGAATCGAAGGGGGTATCATACACACGCCCCTCTGCGTTAGTATCTATCTAGCTTATGAGAATCATAAAGAATTATATTATTCGAGACCAATAAATAATAATTCATTCAAACGTTTCAGGAGGCAAAAATCAGTAAATATATGGACTACAATATCTATTTGAAATGCGAAAATTTACAATACACTGGCAGGTTAGAAAGGGTGAACAGCGTAGTTCAAAGTGATAAGTCACATTTAGCCAGCTTGTGGCATGTAGCTTGTCCGTCGCACGTAGCTGGCCTGTAACACATGGTAGCAACCATGTAGGCAGCTCGTAGCACGTAGAAAGCATGTACCCAACGCATAGTACGTAGCAATATCGTAGCCAACATGTAGGAACTCCGAAGCCATCACGTAGTAATCATGTGGCTGGTCCGTAACATGTAGCTAGCTCGTAGCAAGCATGTAGCTGGTCGCCTGGTCCGTATCACATGGCAAGTATGTAGCAACTCCGTAGCAAACATCTATCAAATTGATATAAACAATACTTTGTACTTTGTTAATTCTAAAAATAATATTTATATTTAATCTAGCTGCGCTGAGCGTGGTATTCGTAACGCTCTGTTAGCGTACGGTGGAGACATCGGAGACCGCGGAGTTATAGTACCATCTCTTGGAAACATGGCGTTGGGTACCGCGTACCACGGTGGAACTCTAGGAATCCCGGTATGTATACTTAGAAATATCGTGGTGGCCTATTTTAAAATTATTTAGACATCACTGACATACGCTGAAGGATACTCATACGTTCTTGTCTATATGTATGTACATTTGAAGGTTACAGTGGTGATGCCAGAGAGGACGCCTCCGGCTCACGCACAGCGCTGCTCAGAGCTAGGCGCTGATGTAGTGTTGTGCGGAGACAACCTCGACGACGCCATCTCTTACGCCAAGAAAATCCACCAAGAGGGTCATCAGACAATACTTGAGTATGTAAATCATACCTGTCCTACAAAAACATATATGTTTTAACACAATAAAGATATTGTCAACACGAGAACAAGAACAAAAGACTTACCAAAAAGTTTAAATATCGGCACATAAAGTTGTAAGCCTCATCTTCATTCTCAAAATGCAGTCCTTGACAGTCTCATATAATACGACATATCCATGCATCATCATCTCAGCTGTAATAAAAATTATTTAACCTGAAATGTCATGAAAATGAAGTTTCATCGGACCTATTATGAAGTTGGTATGTAATTACAGCGCGGATGATCCCCACGTGATAGCAGGTCTTGGCACGGTGGGCGTGGAAATCGTTACACAGCTGCCTGAAGCGGACGCTGTGATCGTACCAGTGGCGGGCGGAGCTCTATTGGCCAGCGTACTGGTTGCCTGCAAGAAACTCAAGTGCTCCTGTCTAGTTTACGTACGCTGTGTTACACATTACGTCCTTTTGCTCCTTATAGAGATAAAATAAATAGACAGAGGCACAACCTGAAACTGCTAATACTGCTAGATAGTTGTGCTAGCGACCACTCTGCTAACAAGACAGACTGATAAAAAAAATATCGGTTTAAAAAATAATATACTTTTTAGTGTTTTTACTGAAAGAATATAAAATAGGTAGGTACAAATTACTTGTTTGTTGTAATGATCTGTTTCAGGGTGCGGAATGTTCGAAAGTGCCGAAGATGATGAAGGCACTGCAGGCAGGCCGACCTGTCCCTGTGACGGTGGTACCGAATTTGGCGGATGGTCTCAACACTTCCAGTGTTGGAGCTAATGCATTCGCGACTATCAAGAATAGACTTGATAGAATGGTAATGTTATTTCTGACATATCTAATGAAATTAATGACAATTACTTAATCAGTTTATCGCTTCTCGGGTACGTGGGCAAAGCTACTGGTAGAAGCTAGTCCTATATAAAACATGGTGAGGCTTCAAGTTAGTACTGATTTTTGCAAAACTGAATATGTTCAATATGTTTTCCAAAGAGACTATCTGGCCGGATAGGCGTCACTTTGCTCGTGTGGCGCAAACACAACTGTCAAGGAATAGAGTAGAGTCGTAACTGGCATATTTCACCTCTCTCCGTTGCTATTCAAAATGAAGTTCTGTCCTACATTGCAGTTGGTGGTAGACGAGTTGTACATAGCCAGGGCAATGATATCAATGTTGGAGCGAGAGCGTCTCGTGGCGGACGGGGCCGGCGTGTGCGCAGTCGCCGCAGTCATGCAAGGGCTAGTGCCCGAGCTACGAGGGAAGCGGTATGTGATTATAGAGAATTTATTGTAGGTATTTAAATATATTAGTTTACATAATATAAACTTACTACATAGAAGTAGAAGAGTATTGTAGTGATCGATTGATTTAATTTTACAGAGCGGTATGCGTTGTAAGCGGAGGTAACATTGACTGTGGTCGACTCGCTCGTACCATTCAACGCGGTCTCGGCTCCAGTGGGCGACTTATGAGATTCGCGGTGCCAGTGCCCGACCACCGCGGCGGCTTGGAACAACTCGCCAAGACCATAAACGATGAGAGTGCAGTGCTCAAGAGCTTAGTCACAGAACAAATGTGGGTTCACAGTGATGTTGGAACTACTTGGGTAGGTATTATCTTTTATATGTAGTATTCACGTATGTTTTCTCTACCTACGACTATTGTTTAAACTGGCTTTATCCTCAATCGAGTGTGGAGTAGATTATAAGGGTGGAATAAACTAAAAACTTGCAATTTAGACATTTAGATAATAAGTTGGTTGTTGATGTCCAAATTAAAGTGCAATTGGTATGTTATATTGACGAATGTTAATTTGGTGGCAGGCGAATGTGGTAGTCGAGACAGCAAACGAAGAACACGCGTGCAGTTTTAAGGATCGACTGCGCGACTTATACCCTACCGCTAGATTCGCAGCCGTGGACATGGACGACAAACATAAAATATCTGTGCGATGAAACATGGTACTTTTTTGTTGCATATGTCCATACTCTGAATGAGATAAATTTAATGTTTGTGTGTAAAAAAGGTTATAAATTACAAAACATTAAGTTTTTTAGATTTTTTTTATTTTTTACTTATACATAAACTTATGCGACTGGGTCATCGCCCTTGGTGGCTCTAGTGTAGATCACCTGTCCGTGGTGTTGGACTACCTGTTTGATTAGACCTGAAACAATAGAATGCAGAGTTTAGTACACATTTCATTAAACTAGAGTGTAATAAGATGTAGGAAGAGTTGTTCAGACTCAATATATCAGTTTGTAACTGTCATAGTGTTATCCAGAGAAAATGATCATCATTACAATTAACATTTATGGACTACAATAAAACTCTAGGCACAAAAATATCTGTGTCAATGATTTTCCATCTTTTCTACATCTGCAGTAAACTCGTATGCCTATAGTTTTGCGGGTACGCGACTAATGACTACTTGCTGAGTAACTAATCACTAGTCGTAGTAACAGAAGTTGTATACTATTTCTACTACATCTAATATGCATATTTGATTACTAATAATTTGAATAGATAGAAACATTCGAAAATAAATTGCACATAATTTGATTTTGAAACTAAATTTTATGAATCAAAAACACAAACAGCATGAAGTCATAACATAAACCATAACACACTTCACTAGTCTGATTTGTTTGAATGAGTTTTTTCAACTAACATACCGAACGAAATAAAGAACACAAGATCATACCTTTTTCTCTGAGCTCAATGAGGGCACGTCTCGCAAGAGAACCTCGGACCTTCAACCTTTCAGAGACAACAGCAGGTGTGATGAGCTTGTACTGGGGCACTTCCTTGTACAGTTTCTCATATGTAGGCTTGTCAAACAACACCTGGTTGTTTAGTTTGTCACGAACTTTTCCTTTGGACCACTTCTGCAAAGTTACAACACAAAAATATTAGTAAATTTATAGAATATCAATGCCTAGAGGTTGTAACTTCAGAACATCAAGGTGCTGCCATCAGCCTCAATATATCAGTTATTACTCTCACAGTCGTCAAGTTTAAAATATATAATCATCTGGCGAAACACCTTTTCTTTACATACTTATTATTCTATAACGAGTTGAAATACTACAAAACCTTAATTTATCTTCTTAACTCGTCGAGTACCGGTTTTGTAGACACAATTATAGAACAATAGGTTGCGGTCACCGGTGACCGCTTGGTGTTTGACAGTTTAAATCGCGCACTACGTGCTATTTGAGTCTGATACTCTGATCTTCATGTCATTGATGTAGAACAGAGGATGGTCACTGTCACACGCACACATAACCTAACTTTTTTAATATCACTAATTGTTTACCTTCTTCTTGGCTTTACCGCCACCGGAACCTTCCTTCTTCTTCTGTGTTTTCTGGGGCTGCTTGGCCGAAGCCTTAGTGTCCTTCTTGGGCGGCTGAAATCACAACAACATTGTTGAAAACAAGCTAAGCCACGAGGTCGCATCATCCGAACTTTGCAAGACAAATATGATACGGCACAAAACTAATTCTTCATATGTCACTTAATATTTAAACGTTTATCACATAAAAACAAGTATAATTAGTATAGAAATTATTATGATTTTAATAATTTTAAATGAAAATAGTGAGAGCAGCACATTCACTCACCATCTTGAAACCGGAAAGAAGGCTTATAAAATATTGTCTATGGATTGAACAGCATTGACGTTTTGCGTACGTTCGAAAACTACTCTGCTACCTATACTTATTTTTTGGTTGGCAATACTAAATATCATAGAGGAATATTGGCGATGCAAAGATTTTATCCGCGCGCCTCGAGCGGCGAAATTTAGACGTTTAGACACTTTGATTTCGATGACTTGTTTGTGGTTCACATTATTAAAATAATTAGAACATGTCTGCCTATTTATACCAAAAACACCAACACGACTAAATGACATATTTTGTTTAATTTTTACCATTGTTGTGTTTCTGCTTTTATTAAAAACAGGTTTCTGTATGCAATCATAATCCTTTAATTTGATTATGTTTATACTTATTAAATTTTGCCGCTAGGGGCGCGCGGCGGCGCGGATAATCTTTGCATTGCATAATTGCATTGTTTAATACATGTCGCGTCCCACACTAAAAGTCTACCTACCCATATTCCAAGGCAGCAACGACTTAACATCTGGTCTCTTGCCGTCATAACGTACCAAACCATTAGGTTCTAATACCGGCTGAGGCAAGGGCACGACAAATGATGACGTTGATTCCGGCATGGCAAGCTAGCCTGCACTTCTGCGAGAAGAAAGACCATAGTGTGTTCCAAGCCATCGATTCTTTCTCCACAGTGGCAATCTCCACTCTTTAGTTTATTTGAACGTCACAATCCTACTATCCTACAAAATATTCTAAATGCGAAAGTTTGTGAGGATGTATGTGTGTGTGTTTGTTTGTTAGGTACTGGTTCACGCAGAAACTACTGATCGGATTTAGATGAAACTTCACAGTAATGTAGGCCATACATCAGAATACCATATAGGCTACAATTTATAATGTTTAGTTATTTTGGGCGTAATATAACACAAAATGTTAGCCAAATCGGGCCTTTGAGACCTATCTGGGCGTAAGCTGCATAAACCATAAGAGTTACACTAACTAACAAAGATGATGTAGGTACTGTAACATTGTTTGTCTTGATTAGTTCTTAATAAAAGTCCGGGACGGCACATTTCTACCTTTTATGTGGAAGTCACTATGCCGATTTTTTTAGGAATATTATCTAAAAACCATAGCTGAAAACCTTCGATCAACAATAACGACAATAACAACCTGAAAACCATTGAAAACAGATAACTGACAGGTAAAATTACTTACCTACTATGGTAACCAACCTGATGATTTGTTAGGACAGCCCACTTTTTCATTAAACCTATATAATGTAACACTCTTTGGCCCAATTTGGCATCAACAGACAAAAATGAACTTCTGGGAGTTTTGAAGGACTAGTAAGTATTCAGGTGCATCAGGGTTTAAAAAAAAATTCAATCAACTGAATAGTGAATACAATTTATTCTTAGAATAGCCTCTGCCCCCGGCCTCGCTCGCGCTCTTTTAATGGGTTGAGGGCAGGATTCACAAAAATAAACTACGAAAATAATCCCATCCAAATCGATTCGATGATATTTGTTACAGACGCAAAATATACCTTGGCAAAAACTAATCACAAAACCCCATTTCTACCAGAAATAATTATTTTACGCGGACGCAGTTGCGGGTAACGGCTAGTAGTCCATAAATATTATATTAGTGCATAGTCTCGATTTTTCGACACACACACCCACGCGGATAATGGGAATACTGAAAAGTGGGGGAACTTAAATATTTATTGATAAACTAGTGACTGGTGGACCTCGCAAAGTTTCGACTTAGATTTTTTTACTGCACATTTTTCTTACATAAGCATTTTCTCCTAACAATAACAATCCTATTAAAAAAGAATTGCGAAATCTATTCAGCTGTCCTAGAGATTTGGGATTGGCAACACATTTGGCAATTCATTTTTATAAATGAGTGATCTGTTTACTAGTTTTTAGCCATCCTTTACATTTACAATATCGGGCAAACTACTATTTTTGGGAGTCCTTTCTTTGTTTATGTACCTTGGCACCCAGGCGATACGGTGTTTGGAGTAATAAATAAATAATTCACTGAACTATCAGTACTATAAGAGACTACTCTTATTTAAAAGTTGGTGAATAAATAATAATAGAATTATTCATTTCTGTAGAGTAGGTATGAAGTTAAACACAAGTGCCAATAATAGTAATTAAAGACAAATTTAAAAGCTCCCCATTCCATTTATTCCTCAGTCCATAGTAACAATAATAAAAAACCTAAATAATTTACATAAATAAATGAAAATCAACATGTATTTTGAATAAATTCATTTATCAAAAACAAAAACAAAAAAGACATGAAATAATTGCACTTGAGCTGTCAAAATATTGCAGAATATATTTAATGGTAATATTTGGTATGCTGTAATTTTTAGGACTAGGTTTTTTTTACATTTGTGACTTCAGTGATTCGTAATATGCTAGTTCTTCGTCAGTGACTGATGACCGGAATGATTCTACTCCGTGCAGCATTTCTGAAACTCCCAGGATGACAGAGTCGGGGCTTAGTTCTGATTCTTTTACGGCACCTAGAAGAAAAATATACAAATAAATACAGAAATTACGGTAAACTTTGCTTCACAAAATTGTAATTCATTTGTTACATTTTCACACAATGTAACAAATGAGCTTTTTAAACTATTGTGCTACTATTGAATGATTTCAGTATTGCCAAATTAAAAACGAGTTAATTTACCAGCATGCAGTTTGGCGACAAGGGCGCGTACAGCCGCAGATCTGGCCGTAGATACTACTTGTAATAGATCAGCGCCTGTGCAACTGTCCGGTAAAGCGGCTGCTACCGACTCCAAATCCACCTCATCACGTAATTTGTAACTGGATAAAAAACATCATTTATAAATATTATAACAACACAGCTTTTATTTCCCGACGGAGAGGTTGAGAGGAGATGGGAACTTGATTACGTGCAAAGAGGTAGTAAATTGGATAATACTTTTTAAAATTACAATTACATACTTTTATCAACATTAATAAATTAATTCACACAATATGTGTTATAATGATAGTCTAAAACATGGCAACACAATCTATCAAGTAGACACGGAGTACCTAATACAATACATATAAGATGAAAAGATATGTATACCAACTTTCTACAAAGTGCCTGGAGTACGCAGGTTTTCTCATGTAGACCGCGGTAAGGGCCAACGTAGATGAGTTTGTCGAGACGACCGGGACGAAGCAACGATTGTTCCAACAAGTCAGGGCGATTAGTCGCCCCCATTATGAACACGAAACTCGATGTGTCTGCCTCTGAAATATTAAAAAAACACGGATAAGCCTTTATTTTGGGTCATTAAATTATCCCGTCCTGAAGAGGCCTTGTATTTATGACATTGTAAAAAAGGTCGTCTTAACTTTCGATGTGAAGAACACCAAAAGAAAGGAAACCTTGACCATCAACTTCCTTTGTAGCTTAAAATAATTACTTATAAAGAACTGTTAATCCCATTTGCAATACCTATTATCATTCATAGACAGATTGCAATCTGCTATTTAAGAACACGTAAATTTACTTAGGTGTGGTTTTTGCGTAAAGCGTAACTCGTCTATGAATCGATCTTACGTCTTATGGACTAAGAAGTTAATAATAATAACGCACAGAAATGCGCGTGTGTTGTCAACCAGATCTAGGGTATGGAGGGACTGCGCCGAATGAGCTCCTGGTAATCTCACTTAGTATTTGGGCCATGGAATTTTCTATGATTAGGACAATAAGATCGAAAGTGATTTTACTGATAAAATACCTTCTCCACTGCTAACGCCATCAAGTTCAGCTAGCAATTGGCTGACTACGCGGTCGCTGGCGCCCCCGGAGTCGCCGGCCGCCCCTCGCCGCGGCGCCAGTGCATCCAACTCGTCCAGGAACACTATACACGGTGATGAAGCACGCGCCGCTTCGAATACTGAAATATTTTTTGTTTTTTACATAGCGAGGTCCAAATGTTTCCGTAGACTATTTTTATACATATGAGAAATAAAGAACATTGAAACTTAAAAAATACTAGAGGAGGAGAATAAACTTTCGTAGACTGTTCTAAAGGTTAATACATAATATACAAACCTTTCCTAACGTTTTCCTCAGACTGTCCGATGTACATGTTAAGTAGTTCAGGTCCTTTAACACTCATGAAGCTGACATTCAGTTCTGTGCTCACTGCTTTGGCTACCAGCGTCTTACCGCAGCCTGGGGGCCCGTACAGTAGTATACCTATAATGTTGAAAACACTTAAATTAATGTTGAATAAAATATAAGAGGTAAGGTAAGGGAAAAGCTTTTTTAAATCTAAGTCAAATGGAACCCTCGTTCCGCCGCGCAATACATTTTACTAGAATCTAAAGTTCATTACTCACCTGATCTCTTCAAACTGTTATTTTTAAATAGATGTGGATATTTAATAGGAAATTCTATAGTTTTCAACAATTCTTTCTTCAGAGTGTCGAGCCCGCCTATATCTTCCCAGTATACTTTCGGGATTTTGGGCGCATCCAAATGTTGACTTTGTAGACTTCTTATGGACTCTGTGTGTAGTAGAACAGACATAACTTAGTTATAGTTAGTTAGTATCATTTCACATCTTAATTTTCATGTACCAGCTGGTCATACGTTCTCATTCGCTACAATTACCTCCAAAACAGTTTATAACTATGACTAATTTCAAGCCACATCGGCCCCGGTGTGGCTTAAAAGAAGTCGAGCAACCTCGAATCAGGTTACGTGAGCAAAATCGTTACTAGTAGTGCTAATTTGACCTAAAGTCTAATAAATCAAATCGCGATAATCTACATCCACAGTTTCAACTCACCCAATGCTGAATTGAAATCTTCTTCATGTACTAAATGCAAATCAGGTTCCGGCGGCAACTGATTGTAGCTGTTATGCTGTTTTAAATAAGACTCCCGAATCGCAAAGTGAAGTAGAGTATCCAAATCCCCATATAGGAAGGTTTCAGTTTTCGCCGCTACCCTTTGCAAGACATCCCTTGCAGATTTACTTAGGCTGACTATTTCTTTATCAGTGGTTATCTGGTCTGGAGATAACTGATCTTCTCCATCTATGTTTAACTGCATCACAGTCGCAAACCACTCCAACATCTCATATCTTTGCTGCACATTAAGTCTAGGAATATGAAACTTGTCTAGGAACATTCTTAATACATTTGGCTTTAGGTCCTGTCTCTCAGTGACCGCAATGAATATGATTGGGTGCTTCGTGTAGTTTTGGTATAGGTCTGTGATAGTGTTCATGAAGTATTCTAAAACTCTACAGTCTTCATTGTTTTCTGGGTCTACAGCAAATACCTAAAAAAGTAAGTCTTCATTTAATCATTATATATCTCACAATAAATTTCATATCAAGTTTTCACAGCCACAACTCACAGGGCATCTGGTTCTACAATAAAAAAGTGTAATTGTATTTAGTAACTTTTGTTTGGAGTGTTGTACAGTTACTTAGGTGCCCTTGGAGGGTCATTGTTGTGAACAAGATCAGTAACAAAGACCAAAATATAAAGAAGACATTTAATTTTGTTAATTTTGATTTAATGAATGTAGATGAAACAAAAGAAATTTTTGATATTTATAAAAAAATACTTATTATGATCAGTCATAGTATTCTGCTATACCTCAAAGTTATCCAACACAACAATAATAGGAGCTGCAGCTTTAGCCTTCTGAACTGTGGAATTGATTTTGCTCTCTGTTTGTTTGGCAGTGGAACTCTGAAGAGCATTGCAGTCTATTGGCAGAGCATTCATGCCTGGGAATAAAAATGGAATAACAACATGTATTTCAAATTTAAGTAAAAAATTAATGAATAATGATTTTTTTAGTTTTACTAAAAGTTTATGAAGGAAAAAGCTTCAATATAATTTTTAATTTGTTAGAAACTCACCATTGTATTTAGCTAATATCTTGATGAGGAGATGTCTGCCAGATCCTGTAGATCCAGTCAAAAGTAGCATGGGAATGATAGGGGTTGACATTGATGATAAGAGGTCATCTAAAAAGATAAAGTATTATTTAACTATAAATAGACCGCTGACTGGATTTAGTGACTGAATAAAATAGATAGATCTTACTCATTTCTCCACTTAAAAATGGGTGGATTGTTTCCTGCATCTGTTCAAATTTTTGTCTCAGCCCCGTCGGGCAGAGATGTAGGATATTTTTCTGATTCTTATCTTGCTGTGGTTTGAAGTATTCATCTTTTGGCTTAAGACTGTGCACATTTTCACCTAGAGTAAGCTGAGTTACACCTTTAACTATGAAGTATGCTTGAACTATTTTGTCCTTATATTCATTACTTGTATTGGAAAGGTCACTACATAACTTTTTGCATTTAAAATAGAGCTTTCCAGTAGATTGCACTAAGTCTAAATACTTGTAATGATATTTTGCAGTCATATCAGGGGTGAGTTCTATGCTAAATATATCATTAGTGCTGACTAACTTTGGTGTTTCAAAATAGTTACTTAAAACCTCTTTGATGAAGTCATTGGCTAAGTCATAGTCATTCACTATGAGGCTCACTTCAGCAGCTGCTGCTATTTTGGGTGAGCTGTCCAAGTTGGGCAGTGGGTGGAATGTCACACTGATGTCTTTGCACATGTTTATACCAAAACATGAAGTGATGTTGTAGAGCTCATTTTCATTAGTAAATGCAATGTTCTCTGTGATATGTTTAGACCCAACTATTGGTACTATTCTCACATTGTCTACACTGTTCTGTGCAGCATCTGTCCACAGCTTCTTGTGTATCTCTGACGTCATAAAGTGAAGACTCAGTTGTATTGCTTTATTGTCACTTTGTTTTTCTTTGTGTTTTCTTTTCTCATCTGGAGTTAACTTTAATGCAACCCAAAGTACTCCATTGTCCAAGTAGAATAAATTTTCACTGCCAAGTTGGATGAACTGTTCTTTAGAAATAACTATGCATTTATTTAAAAGGACTTGTAAGTTTTCTTCAAGTCGTTCTTTTATAAGTGATTTTATAATGTGTAATGGAATAGGTTTCACTTCAAACACATCCATATTTTGTCGATTAGAACTCCTCCTTTGGCACCAAATTCTATACTTTATTGAGAGGAAGACGAGGAAGTAGTAGCAGTTGTACTTTGGATATACAACTTTTAAACAAAATTTTAACACCCATAGTTTACGCGAAATTTGTTCATTCATAGTAACTTGAATTCACTTATAAGAAACTATTTTAGATGTAAAAAAAATAATAGAACTAAAGTAAATAAATAAAAAATACCGAAAATCGTATTTTAATTTATTTCTCGCACATTTTCAATTGAATCAATGATAAACTGCGAAATGATAACAATGTTTAACAATGTCACATTGTTGGACTTTTGATTTTGACATTACCATTACATATCACTTTAGCATGACTGCTGACATTTATTTTGATATTTGATGGAATCTTTTTTTTTAATCTAGAGGTGAGCTCAAACTATTAAATAATTTTTTTCTATGTAGTTTTTTTACGTCTAAAAATACATAATATATATTTGCACGCCATTAAACAGTGATTTATAGATATTATGTAGTAAATTTTCTATATAGTAGATAAATATTGTTGCAACCTCGGTGGCGAAGAACCAGCCTATCCAGCAATAAATAACATTAAAAGAAAGTTATTCAAATACCTAACAGTAGAATGCCTAGGATGTTGAAAATTTACAACCTCAATGTAGAATGCATTAACCATTATAACATTCATGTAACACTCCCTTTATGTACTTGATCTATAGAATACTTAATACCCCACTTCACAGTCATCCTAAAGTAACTTGTAACATAGTTTCCCCTAAACTTATTATATTCTTTGCATACAGTCATTCACAGAGTACTACATCCCCTATACTTATTTTACTCTTTGTACTACATCATTGATGACGGATACCCACTTGTCGGTTTGACATTCCTTGACATAATTATTTATGTTTATAAACACGGAGTTTAGAAGAAGAAATGTTCAAATAAAATGTATCTAACATGGGCATCGTTCAACAATATAAGGATGCTGATGATGGCTTGCATGCCTGTTGTAATATTCTATTTAATATGGCTGGTCAACACATCGGAAGGTATTCGAAGTGAAGAGGGCACTCTATTGGATCTGGTGTGTTGGCCAGATGGCAATGCTATACCTGTTATTATAGCTTTAGGCTCTATTATTGCAGTTGTTATAGAGGTGTGTACATAATTCTGTCGAATAAGTAAAAACCTACCTAAATTGTTAGGTAGGTACCTAGGCACATTATTTAATATGCAAGTTTCCAATATTTTCTTCTGAAAAAGCTACATAAATAATCCTTTAAGTCCTAACGTTCATTACTTTACCTTACATAAAAAGCGTGCTAAGTAGACGGGTGATGATACTTAAAATCATAACTAGGAAATATCGTAAGTAGTTAGGCTATTTAGAATCGTTTAATAATGTATTAATTTCTCCTTCCTTTAGCTGTATGGTTTATATCAGTTATTTAAAGCCGGCTTACCGAAAAGAGAATATGACGTCACAAACGGACTATTCTACTACGTCTGGGCGCTTATTATAATGATAATAATCTTCCTGGCAATAATGTTTTACTCTGGACTTCAATCGACTATTATAAGAGGTTTTTAGTTTACTATAATTTATTCGTGAAATTCAGTCTGTACCTACCTACTTAGGCCTTATTATGAAAATAGAATTCCTTGACCTAAGTGCACGCAAACTTGAACGTAGGTGAGTACTTTGGATCATAAAGGTCGTAAACAAAGCCTGGAGTAGTCTATAAGCTACGGTAACTGCTTTTCATTAGGTCTAAGTCATAATGCAAAAAGACAAAGATAGTACTTACTTGTTAGCTCACTGCTAGTCCCCTTATACGTAACCACCTAAAAAAATATTACAACAACCTATATCTTTCGCAGCCAAAATAAAAGGCGGTATAACAAAGGCCATGCTACGATACTCAAGTCATCTGCCGTCGAAGGTGGCCATAGACCGATTGCAGACCAGATTCCATTGCTGCGGCCGAGTCAACTTCCAGGAGTGGTTCTTCATACCCTGGTACATGAACGGGGAAAATATAGATTCAAAGACTTTGTTAGTACCTGCCTACTTTTATTTTTTAAATTAGGAGACGGACGTTGATCCGTTACACAAAAAACGGTAGCTTTTTAATGAATAGGTACCTAATTGTCAAAATCATGACCTATATTCCTTCACCATCTAGAAAAAAAACTGTTGTATCCTTAGTAATATTATAAATTGAAAAGTGAGTTTGTTTGTGTGTTTGTTCCGCTTTCACGCCGTAACTACTAAACCGATTGCTTTGAATTTGCAGACGTAAAGTTAGAAGTCTGGATTAAATAATAGGGTACTTTTTATCCCGGAAAAATGATATTCCCGAGGGAAAACAAAAGTATTGGTTATATATAGATGGCGCTGTGTGTATTGGTATATGTCACATCTAGGCTACTTTTTATCTTTTTGTGACGCGAGCGAAGTCGCGGGTAAAAGCTAGTTTGAAATATTTCGCTGAAATGACTTGTGTATGACCGAATCAACCGAATGGCAGCTGGGGCATCTACGTATGTATTATTTGGTGGGTACAGGTACTACTATATTTGCCAACAGTTCCAACCACAAGTTCGTATCGGACAACGTGCCGTACAGCTGCTGCTCCACAGAAGAACTCTACCCCTGCATACACCATGGAGTTACTCAAATGGGGACTATATACAAGTACAACCCTGCGGTTAGTAGGTACATTTTACCATAGAATAATGAGTAGGTACACACAGTAATTTATTGACCTTACTTCACACGCAACATAGTCGTCGCATAACAACACGCATACTAACGACATTAAAACTGACACTTCAAATGCTTCTCCCTCTTTTGAAGACTATTTAAATTAAAAATAATGTTTTATGTTTACAGACACAATTGACGATATGGAACGCAGGTTGCGAGGAGAAACTAATCAGCGAAATGATGACCGTCTCTTGGCGGTTCAACGCTGTCATGGCGCTTATTATAATGGCGATGGTAGGTTCCTCTAAACATTTATTGGTTGTAACTTTTTAGCTATGCTGTTTTCTCTATCCATGTTCCCTACGCTAGACTAATAATATGCATATTATAAGTTGTCTATCTTAGGTAGGGGATGTAGGTACTTAGATTAACATCCTGTGTAGGTACATTAAAGTCCAGTCGAAATCATAAAACATTTACACATTTTCTATAAAAAAACTCTTAATACAGATAATACAAGTGATCGCAGTACGCTACCTCCACACAGCTTACAGAAGCGGTTTGCATGTGGGCAACCAAATCACTTGCAAAGCGTATCTTCTACGCTCCTTGACAGACACAGAACCTTTGAAAGACAAATCAAGGAAGAAAGTATTCAAGAAGAGAAAGTTCCGACAAGCTAGAACCCTACATTGGGTATCCGTATCGTATAGAAGAGGAAAGAAAAGATATTTGACGTCATCCGGGTCCGACGTCAACAGCTCTGATGAATTATTGAAGCCGATTTATGAATAGTTTAAGTGAACGATCCAGATAAGACGTATCTAAATGAGCAAGTTTAGATTTTGGACGACAATGAAATTGAACAGAAATAAATAAATTTTGATAGCAATGGGAACATAACATACGCACAGTACCTATACTGTACGGCCTCGTCTATTCAGTGTCTGCAGCGGTCACAATAATTTCAGATAATTTAAGAGTCTATTTATTATTTTTTTATATTTCATGGGCCGACGTTTGACCCCTAGGTATCTCGCCTGGTGGTAAGCGATGATGCGGTCTACAATGTAGCACGTCGTCCCATAAGCAACCTATTCACTCGAGCCTTGAAGACACCCAGGTTATTCCCTTCAGTAACTATAGACTCTAGCAAAGAATGCTAGAGAAGTAAAGTTATGTCCAAGGCTGTGGCACAAGACGGTGAAGCTTAGGTGTCACAGTGGAAAATTAAGATGAGCTACGGAAGTTACACTACTCATGCTGTTTCTCACAATCAAAATTGTATCTACTTTAGTGGGTACTGGTACATTAATCTTTTCGAATAATTTCGAAGATACATGACATAAAACATAAACTATTACATAAAAGCTGTAGTTTCAAAATATGTATGTTTATTTTTAACTTTTTTCTTACAAACTAATGGTTTTATTATACAATACTTAATACTTTAAAGTACTTAGTCGAGAATGGCATGGAAGTACCCACTTAAGTATGTAGGTACATACTTACGTATAAAAAACTATGCATTCTCTATAAATCTTTATTTACGAAGGAGTGTATCATGTCTGGCTCTGCGATGTCTTTGAGGCGGTGAAGGTTGTCCCACCAGTACGGCAGCATGTGTTGGTGTATTAACTTGAACCATGGCGTGATAGGATCCTTCTGGTTTGCTATAAAACTGATCCGAACCGATAAAAAATTAGTCTTGAAATCGTTAATGAACTTATCTGTGAATTAATTTATTGTACCTAAGTAACTCACCTATCCATCTTATTTTTAGCGACATATTTGACGTCTTCGATTTCGTTAGGGTTGGGTTTGACTTGTGCGTCGCTCCTCAGGATGAGCACGTGGTCCAGTTCGTATTCGCCCCACACTCCATCGCCAGGGTCCGCGTATATGAACCGTGATATAAGTGTAAAGTCTTCCCGATTCAGCTGTAAACAATTGTTATTAATTTAACTACCTAAATCTCCTATTTCTGTTTGTCCTATTAAATGCACCATAAAACAATTCCTTTTTTCTCTCGTATTATTATTCGCGCAGTCTATTCATGTTTTCTTTGGGCGACGTTTTTCTTTCGATTTTCGATTCTTCATGTAACTTTAGCACTCATGTGCACATAACTTTTCTCGAGTTCCATTCAGTATATTTACTTAGTCATTATTGATATTTTTGTAGCCCTTTGTCACCTGTTGTTTCGGTATCCCTAGTTCCTCATTCAGTCTGCGTATAGCGGCGGTTGTGACGTCCTCCGGTACACCGTCTATGAGTAGTGGGTGGCTGCAGCATGTGTTTGTGATGGCATTAGGATATGTTACCTGCAACACAAGTTTTATTAAAGTACGCAAATTCAACTGTGAACCAGTCATTAAGCGTAGGTAGGTAGAATTATACCTATTGTATTTTTTTTAAGGGGGGTAAATCATCGAATGACTGCTCCCGCCTGGGTGAGGCGGGAGGGAGTGTCAGACTCTTACTGACTAAAAACCACCCCGTTCCTTCTCCTGCACGTCGAGCCGGAGCCCCGGTTACCCGTTAGGTTCTCCGCGACATTCTCTGTACCATAAGATCTCTATTTTAATAAGTTACTACCAGCTATTAACGTTTTAGAATTAGATGATTTGAAATTATACTCAAAATATTTACTTTTTGACTGCTTAATAGAATACTTACTTTTTGACTAGCCCTCTTCTGAACGAGCAGTTCTCCAGCGGAATTGAACATGAGAACACTAAAGGCTCTGTGTAGTGGCACCATGCCATCAGGCCCCACTCTATGGCACTCTCTCTTGCTCGCAGTACCTATGATATTGTCTCTCTCATCCACTAGTAAGCACATGTCTTTCTTCAATGATGCTGCCTGAAACAGCATCGCTTTAGATTTTTTAGTAGGCCTATACTTAATCACATAAAACAAATATACTTAGCACATTATGTTTCTGTCAGAGGTTTAATCCATAATACCAGGATAAAAATTTGCCTATTTGTTTCAGACTACAAGCACCCTCAGTGGCAATTTTTATTCAATTCTATAATAATTTATTCTGGTGTGTTTGACACCCAAACACTTATCGCAAAATCTTGTGAGGTTAACATTGTTTGAGTTTGAGGTTTAGAAACTTAAGTACTTTGCACTTATTTATTCGCCAATTTAATTTATTTTTGTATGGGATGTACCTACTGAACAGGCACTTAATTTTAAATGCCTTTTCTTGTACTAGATGATGTTTGATCAACTAAGTCAATAATAACGTATTAGTACCTGAACATCCGTTATATTATCTCCGGCCTCGGTCGACTGGTTCATAGCGGCGTTGATGCAAACAAACTTTTTGTCCACTCGCGCGGTATTCCACAACATCCGACCACACTTGTAACTTGTCATAACACTACGTACCAACATATTTAAAAAGATTGTCGAATAAAATGCCGAAATTTTTATTTGAAAAATGTATTTATTTAGTAAAAACTCACATTATAATGATAATTCCATGAAACGTTTAAGTACTTTATTGTTCACCTTCGAATACATTGCGGTGTGATGTAAATAAATGGTAATGAGATATCTATGTATGAATATTTATTAGGTGCCGGCATGGGTTGCTAGACCATTAACTTTTTATACGACTGTGATTGTTTTCAAGTGCTCTTAGTTCGTCTTAACACAGACATATAGAAAAGATCTTCCTTAGAAACTCCTTATAATAATTTGTAAGTTCTGTGCTAGTTTGTGCCATCATAGCTCCCTAGTAAATGGAATGATATCTGTTGGTTGTTTTTGTAAATTATTTTTATTTTGTATCTACCTAGGTACTATTTTTAATTTTCAACGAATTGTGTCTTGAATTTAAATGTGGATAAACAGGAAGAGGACAACTAAAGAAAAGAGAAGTAAATAGTGTGTGAAGTATGGTAAGAAAAAGGAGGTTGTGGATGACGTCTGATAAGGGAGAATGAAAAAAGCAGACATATTGTGCCAATTCCAAGTGGCTTAGGTAAGGGGATCCTGAGATCCTGAATTGTGGAGTTGTGGGTCACGTAGCTTATCCAGTCCAGAAGAAGGTCCGTTGTAAGAGACGGCAACATCTAGTAATACTTTTACAAAATATAACTGAGAATGTTTAACTGTAAGTTCCTAGAAAACTCAATACCAGCTGCCCGCACAGAGTAACTCTTTGTGTGAACCACATATTGTTGTTCCGGGTCTGGGTGTGATGTGTATGTGAACTTGTATGTTTGTAAACGCGCGAACGACATAGGAGTAAATTCTAGTGTGGGGGCAACGTTTAAAAAAGAAACCGTCAGTCGGCCAGTACTTTTCTAAAAGAAACCAACAC